TGTTGTGTTTAATCAGATAAATGTATACGTTTTAACCGATTTGAACTTAAATTCTCAAACTATATTAATGTTGGAATTTCAGGTTACAACTGCTGGGTAGACAGTAAAGCTCACCTGCATCATAGTGTTTGTCACTAACTTTCCTTCATGCCTTTATTGACGAAAATAAAAGATCGGAAACACTCCATTGTACATTTACAGAACACTAACAGATGGGAAAAATAAGAGGCCCACGGGTCATATTGCTCACCTGAGCACTGGCTAGGAAAAAACCCAAAAAACTTTGACCGACCATTGTGGTCCCACCCTACTCCTAGGGTCAATCTTGAATACACACCAGCTGAGGATGCTTCGATATATAAAAGACCAATCATAGCCTTGCTGTTCTTGAGAAAAACAGTTTTCCTGTTTTCCTATGTAAAACTTTGATCGACCATTGTCGCCCCACCCTATTCCCCGGGGTCATGATTTGAACAAACTTGAATCTAGACCATCTGAGGATGCTTTCATATAAATATGACTTATCATGTATTTGCTGTTTTTTTTTAAAGATTTTCCCTATGCATTCTTAGGTAAAACTTTGAAAATCCATTGTGGCCCCAACCTACCCCTGGGTGTCATGATTTAAACAAACTTGAATCTACACCAGATGCTCCATAAAAATACAAGTATCACTAATCATGGCTTTTCTGCTCTTGAGAAGAAAATATTTGAAGATTTTTCCTAAATATTCCTATTTATAACTTTGATCGACCATTATGACCCCACCCTAGCCCCGGGGATCATGATTTGAACAAACTTGAATTTACACCACCTGAGGATGCTTTCACATAATTATAACCAATTAAGGCTTTGCTGTTCTTGAGAGGATTTTAAAAGATTTTCCCCATACATTCTTCAAAATCATACGTCAGTTGTGAATTAATATCCAAAAGAACCAAAATGATTTTAAACTACCATATATATATAAGAGTACTGTGCAACAATATATTCAAGAAGTGGTGTTAATCAGATGTGGATACTTGAAAATTCCAAGGAACTTTTGGAAAATTTGAAATCACGAGATTTTGCCAAAATTAACAGCTTAAAAACTTACGACTTGTCAACTTTACATGCAACCATTCTCCACGATAAATTAAAGTCCAGGCTTTTTGATATCATTGGCAGCTGCTATTTCAATAAAAATGGAACTCGTAAATTTACATTCCTGGTCATCGGTCTTTTTCAAAATTATTTAATTAAAAAACATTCTGATTGTACACACAAGTACTCTGAAGTCAACATCAAAAAGATGATTGAGTTTCTGATTGACAATATTTATGTAGTTTTTGGAGACCAGATCTTCCAACAATCGATTGGAATTCCCATAGGTACCAATTATTAGCAGACCTATTTATGTATTCATATGAAGCAGAATTTATACAAAATCCTATGCGTGAAAAGAAGAAAACACTTGCTGTGGCCTTCAACTCGACATATAGATATTTCGACGCAATTGTAATTCCCATTCTTATGTCGATACGATATATCCTGGTGAGCTTGAGATAAAAGATATCATAGAGTCTGACACATTCTTTTCATATTAGAATATTTTACTTGAAAAAGGCGTTAATGGTAATCTAACAACCTAACTTTATGATATTGGTAATCTAACAAACGAACTCTATGATAAACGTGATGACTTCTTATGCAGCAATATACATCACCTGCATACGGTGTTTATGTATCTCAGTTGATTCGATAGCCAAGAGCATGCTCTACATATGAACAATTTCTAAAAGGAGGCAATTTTTGACAAACAAGTTGATGAAACAAGAATATCAGCAGTCTCGTTTAAAGTCATCATTTCGTAAGTTCTATGGTCGATACAATTGCATTGTTTGTATTTCTATTGTTTTATGGACTTTTGATCTTGAATACTGTTCGTTATCTCCATATGTTTCATTTTATGCAAAACGTTGACCGTCCATTGCTGCCCCATCCTACCCCAGGGGTCATGATTTGAACAAACTTGAATCTACACAACCTGAGGATGCTTCCACATGAGTTTCATCTTTCTTGGCCCAGTGATTCTTGAGAAGAAGATTTGTTTAAAAATGTCATTAATTTTTCAATAATTCATAATTGTCTCCCTTTGCAAGAGGACAAGGCCCTTCATTTGAACAAACTTGAATTCCCTTTACCCAAGGATACTCTGTGGCAAGATGTATTATAATTGACCAGTGGTTCTTGAGAAGAAGATGTTAAAAAGTTTACAACGACTCCAACGACGACCGACAATGGACAAATTTTGATCAGAAAAGCTCACTTGGGCCTTCGACTCAGGTGAGCCAAAAAACTTTTCATATTCTAAAATACAATGTGAATGGCTACTGCGTAAAATGCTAATTTTTTAAGAATCGGGTTGTTTGTTGGTTTTTTAAAAAGTCTTTTTTTAAGACAAGAAATTGACTCTGAGAAAGAAAATGATAAATTGGACGGAAAAGCAATGAATTTTTACCGTTTTATTGCTCGCCATACTACTCAAGTGAACCGGGTTTCTAAAATCGACCTCAAAAAGATTCAATAACCAAAATACTGAGTTTACTGTTTTAAAAGATAACACAATTAAATTATGCCTTTGGATTTCCTAAAACACATTCCTATACATGTATATTGTTGATATCCCAGTCCGTCCCTTTACTACGCTATCTTCTTCAAGCTCTTTTTTTTTCCTTTCAGTGGTAGCCAGTTATCTTTCTGGGGTATGATATGTATCCTGTAGATATGCAACAAGGTTTTAAAATGTTCATTTCAATTCGGAGTTGAAAAACAACATTTTATTTATTTCATGATCACCCAATAGCAATAGTACCTTTTGGAATATGACTGTTGGTGTCCTGTAAATGCGCAGTAAGGTTTTGGAATTTTCATTTTCACCCAGGGGACCTACGGGTTTGAATACAAGAAAAACAAAATTTATTTATAAGATGCCAATATGCCTTGAATGGTCGCCCGATTACTAGTATATTACATTTTTCCTCTTAACGTATAATTGTGTGAAGAAATAGATAAGTATGCACTGCAAGTATATGTACATTTTAACTCTTACACGTACATGCGGCGAGTTCAATTTTCTATTCTACTTCACTGCTTTAATGTATCACTTTATCCTGAAAAATTTGCATACTTATTTGGTTATCATTTTTTCTTTTTCATATTTTCTCCAAGTAATGATTATTATTAATGTTAATATGCTATATTTCAGTTTTAACATTGTACGATGGCTGTTCAATAAATAATGTCCTTTGGTGAACGGAAAGAAAAAAAAATCTTCAATGATTAAGTCTTTATAATTTCACTTAAAAATTCTTGTTTGATTAAAACACATGTCCGAAACATTTTTCTCCAATTTCTTGTTGTTTTTTCAGTACGGCCCTTCGTATACTGGAATATGGCAGATCCTATATGGTTTCCTGGACTTGTTTCTTCTCATTGAAAGCTATTTTTTCAAGTTTGGGATATGTAACAAGTCAAAGATTGAAAGATCTGGCTATTATTGTTGGTGTTACAAAACATTAACTTTCTGTTTATCCCCAAAGCTCCTTTACTCAACATGGCCTGTGGGTTTGAACGCTGTCATGAAGAAATTTAATGTAACAGATTCCTGATTCTGGTTAATTCCTTTAAAAAACCTTTCGAAATTTTATCAAAAATTTTGCTTTCTAGATTAAACAGCCTCCCCGAATAAGAATTTGAACAACAGGACCACTAATATTTAAGAAAATATCATATAGAATTGTTTTTGTGCTCTTAAGCGTTTTTACTATCAAATGTTTCTTTAAAACAATGAGAACTTCCCCCAAAATGATGCCTATAAAATTTGCTAAGTGTCTTTAAGTCAATCAAACATAATCAGTGATGATTTGTTGAATTTTGGCAAACAGTACATTGTTTGTTGTAAGTCCTTGTCGCCAAAAACGGTACCCATGTTTGATGCCCATTATATCATTTTTGTTCATTGAAATCCACATGCGTATGTGTCTATAAAACAGACATTAGTTGCTGTAAATTTAATATATTTCAGTTAAAATTTCTTTGGGATTCTGGACTAGTTTTACATCAGCTTTATTGAAGTGTTTAATTTCACTCTAGTTAACTGATGCTTTAACATTTATTTTTAATGCAGTGTCTCCAATAGCCCTTGTTTTCCAGCTTCTCACAATGAAATAATGTGATGAAAAGTGGTCACATAAATTGGTATCAATTCATTTAAGATTTAATGAGATAATGTCGTATGTCATATCATTTCTATATTTATATGTCAAAAAGCTCAGGACATTTTTTATTGAACAGTCCTCGTATGATGTGTAACATCATTTTTAATTGTTTTCTACTGCATTTTTTTGGTAAAGAAAAAATTATGATATAATTACAAGTGATACATACATTAAACACTGGTAATGTGTTTTGAAGGTAGTAAAAAGAATATAATCATTTCATTTTTGTTGCATTAAAATCAAAGCTCTAAGTACAACTTTTCGTATTATACTTTTTTCTAAAAGCAATTTGTGTCCATTTAAATTAGAAAAAAAATAATCTCCTAACCAACTGCATTAAAATGCCTTTAATGCACGCAAGAATATAAATGACAAGCACGGTGTTAAAAGCAATTTGTGTCCATTTAAATTAGAAAAAAATAATCTCTTAACCAATTGCATTAAAATGCCTTTAATGCATGCAAGGATATAAATGACAAGCATGGTGTTAAAAGCTACATGTACCGGCAATCTAGAAATTCATCCTCCTTTATCCTAGTCATGTACTTGTAAATGTGTCTCAATTACCAACAGGAGTTTTCCTTCTTACTCCCCAACAGCTAATTTATTTCATTGACAATAGATATACTTAGTTAATATAACTAAAAGTAATAACCGATTGGTATTCCACGTCGTTATTTTTTTTTTTTTTTTAGAAAGGAACATTATTTTTAATGATGGTTATATAAGCAGAGAAACAAAACAATCTTATACTTTATCAAAACTTTTGTCAATGCATTAAAGAAATACAGAACTCGGACAAAATCATGAATGATTTTTTTTAATGAAATTCCTTCTCAAAAACTGATCCTTTACAGAGCATGACGCGGGGTCTTGAAGAATCTGCTAATAGGCTCGTACTACAAAGGAAACATGGTGTTTTATTCATAATTTAATTCCATTTCTTTTGTTATCTAGAATAGACGAATAAAAGGTTTTAATAATTGTCCTGCTAAACTGTTTATACACGGTAAAAAAGTGTTTGATCACACCAAAAACAAGAAAGTATAAATTAGAATGTATATACACATGTAAATATATAATCTTCTTTTGATGTCTTTCCCATTTTCATTATTTTGATTAATTTTTAATAATTTTTTGTTTTGTTTTACGGATTTGCGGTCACAAATTCTAGCTCTCTTTATGGTATACAGTGCATGGGTAACATATTTCAATAAGAATAACATTACCTTCTTATGCTTCCTACTGATTTTTCTCCAAGAAAAATTTGGAGCACTTCTCCGAGATTTCTCCGTTTGTGTACCACTTTGCATTGCATCCACCGCAGTAATTGTTTCTAGATACAATTAAAATGACAAAACAATTTTTTTTAAATTTACAGTTTGAATTTTTTTTTTGTAAGATAACACACACTGATCGATCTCATGAAAAAAAATTAAACAATACAAATCTTTGAAGAACACAAACAAGGACCCCTGGAAGTTTCAGAATTGGCATCAGGTGCCTTTGATTGAATAAAGGGTAAAACGAGAGCTCTATGCATTGATATACAAAATTTAGTGATAAATAATAAACTGAAAACAAGTGTAGTGTAGTGTAGAAGAGTTGTACGTTTTGATGTAATAAACTCACTATGCAGGCGATTTAACATTTTTCAGAAATTTTGGTTGGAAAAGCTGAAGTCATATCTTTTGTCAGACAATTTAAAGTTTATAACATCAAAAGAAAAAGAAGTGGCAAACTCTGTGGTGTCTTTTATTCCAAGTTCACTGATATATCGACATTTTTAAACACTTTTTGATATAAAACGTTTGCTGAAGCATAGTACATGTAATAAACTGCTTGAAAATTTGGTAATTTTAATTTTTCAAATCGTTCTTTAAAGTTTATTCTTATTCAAATCAGTTTGCTGAGTTAAAATTTTATCAACAGCAGTTAAAATTTTGGTAAGGGGTAAAGATAATGGATGCGAGCAAAATGATGTGGGCAAGGACCTGATGAGTTCTCGATTTTGTTTTCGAGATATATATAATAAAAAAAAGCCCCTGAAAGCGGATGAATTTCTCAAACTTTACTTCGTGTAGTTACATTGTAAGTTGAGTAAGAAGAAATCTTTTCCAAAGCCGAGACAGGAGACATTTTCCAAACATCACTTTCTATAATTACACTATAGAATACTTAATTGTACTCACTTGCAGACGGCTCCAGCCTCATCACATGTCGTCATGGCACACGGTTCCTTGGGACATTTTCCTTTCATGCTCGGGTAGCGGGCGCTGCATTTTTCCTTTTCATCTTCAAAGCTCTGAACAACTGTATAAAATATAATAGATGTACTATACTTTACTGAAGTGAGAACCTTGATATTAAAATGCTTTAGGGAGCTTCCATTTTCGTTGATTGCATTGGGCTTTTGTTCATATGTATATGTATATTTATTTGAGTTTTATATTTCACCATATGAAATTGAGTTTGAAAAAAAGTTGTTTTTTTTTATTTTTATTTTTTTGTAATGTGGGAAATTTCGGTACACAGTTGTATAAGAATGTGATTTGTTACTTAGCAGAATGTTTCGTAAGGCAACTTTCTGCATATATATGCTCCAATGCAAAAACGTAAGATCAAACAATAATTAAGCAAATATATTATGCAGACTGGTACCGATTCCTCGGTTGAAGTGGAAACTTATCCATCTTTGGCAGTAAATATTGAGCTATGATTAAAAATCTTATTTTAAAGACAAGTTAATAACGCCTTTCACGCTTTTTCTTAATCTAAACATCTTTTATGATGGGACATACGTGCATAATTAATGGTATGAAAAGGCTTTTTAAAGTAACAAAATGGAAAAATGTCATACTTACAATAGATTGAAATTACAAGCAGGAAAACAGCAGAGATTCTCATGGTGACGAGGTGTAGCTTTGGCTTTAGAATTAATTCTGTAGAGAGCTGTACTTTCACTGGGTTTTATACCTCATTGTATATTATGTGGTACAGCGGACCGTAAGATGGTTATTTACTATAGATGATTAATTTACTTATTAGTAATTGATCAAATTGGACCATTTTTTTCAGCCACAATTACATAAATTTCACACTCCGTGGATTGCTATGAAAAACTGTATAATTTGGAAACAGAGTTTCAAAGTTCTTTCTGTACATTTATTCAAAAGTATATTCATTTCTGATCGATCTTGAAAGTTGAAACAGAATGAAGCGCCAAAGTATTGTTGAGGTACCTAGTTACTTTTACAAGCTTAGCACGGATTTCTATAGTGCAGTGTATACTGTCTTCTCACATTTTTTAAATTAAAGTTATGAGCCAAATTTTCTATTTTAATAAAAAAAAATGTGGGAAGACAGTGCGTTGGTTAAAAACTCCAGAAATCTTGAACAATTGTCTTAAAATTAGTAATTATAAGACAATTTTCTGCTTTATTTGATAATGTTTCTGTGGAACGTGGTATATATTAAATGTAAAATCAAAGTTGTTATAACGGCGTATCTTTATTCAATGATTGCAAATAAATATTTATTTAAGACCTATTATTGTTTTTTACTTACGATAAACCACATCAATATAGGTATTGACCAGAATTTAGTTTATTTGCTGGACTAAATGAACAATAAACATGCTGTTTTTGTGTCCATTACTTTTCATCTCGGACGCGTTAGATGACGATTGTCACATGAACATTTTAATGAGCATGCAATGATTGTTTTGTCACCGGCAGACATATTTATTAGTTCGTCTGTCCGGTTTCTGTTATAAACTTACCTTTTAATATAAGGATATTGCAGTCCCTGGTGATAACACACGGAATATTTACCTGAGACTTGAGATAAAATTCCCCGGTTGTTCTCTTTCTATGTATCTACCCCGTAAAAGATAACCATTTTTGGTGAATGTCGAGGAACTTATACAAGATTTGCCAGTGGCTCTAGGAAAAGGAAAAGTCTGTAGGAAAAGTTTTGACGTCTTGGACTCTAATACGAATCCAAAAGGTAACTTCAGATTAACAATTAGTGCAGACTTATCTCATTCATGATCTGTATATTTATTTAAGAATTCAAAGTTTTGCTAGGTGAATAGGGTGTTCCGTACATGAACAGTTAAGTTTCTGAATTTCGATTTTCGCCCCATGACTCAAATGAGGGTTGAAAAACATTTTTTTTATTCTACGAAAACGTGGTTTTTCTGGACTCCTTTTACATTTGACCGTAGCCATCTCATATCTTGTGCAAGATAATTGACAGTTTTTGTAGATGTATTAGTTGTTTGCTTGTTTAACGTTCCTTTTGAAATTTTTCACTCATTTAGATTCCACCACTTGCCGGTGGATGGCTGTAAAATTTAGATGCATAGTACTAAAGTAGGTACTCAGGGCTGTTGAGAGATCTTTTTCGTGCCAGTACCTAATGCGACATTGGACCTCGGTTTATATGGTCTCATACGAAAGACTGGTTTCCCAAGTTCCACAGTTGGATTCGAACCCGCGACGCAAGGATCAACTCCTTCCTTCGCAATGTAGAGCAAACTTTCTGACAACTCAAGCGGGCGACTAAAAGTATAAATTTAACAAGATTTTGGAATTTTCATTTTCACATTGAACCTAAAAGTGGATCAAAAAGGAAGAGTTTTCCTTTTAAAAGAAATCCTAGTTCCAAAAGAATTTCTTTCAAATTTACGAACAGTTGCCTTTTTAAGTTTTGGAGGTATCTTGCAGAAGTGCCAAAGGGTTTTGGAATTTTCATTTTCTTCCAAGAGGACGAATGGAGATTGAAAAACAATATCTTCATTTTACAAAAACAGTCTTCCCGCAACTCCTCTTACATGTTATGCAGTAGCCAGTTCATCTTTTGCAAGATGATTGGGGGGTGCTGCAGATGTGAATAAGGTTTCAGAATTTTCATTTTCATCATTGGGTCAAATGAGGGTCGGAAAATGAGGCTATTAGTTCCAATTTGGACCATTCTTTTCTCTATACAAAACAAATTTTCTGAATCACATAAATCATTTTAACCAGGGGTTACTTCATTGCAATCTCTATTTGAGACGGTAATGAAGTTATTATTTGAAATACTTAGATATGAGGCTCAAGGTCATGTGCACATCTGTGCATTTACACTCATTTACGTTTTGATATACATGTATGTATATACATATTTTATGTAAAGTGAAGAATAACCTACATGTAGGTATTGCTTCTGTGCTACCCTGATACAAAAAAATGTATACATTTAGAGACAGATACTTTCGTGCAAGTATTAATATTATGGTTTGTATGACAGCATCTAGTTTGATATCCATGTATTTTTCTAAATGTTATACACATTGTTTTCTTCTGTACTGTAAGATGATATTTTAAAATAGTCACATAAAATAGCAATTTTAATGTTCCCTTTAAATTGGTATCTTTAGTGTAATTGTAATTTCTGCTATATATGTATGTGATTTCATCTGTCTAGTTGTACATATACGTTGTTTGTAAGAAAAAACGTCAACTATATACCACAAAACCACATGGTTGATCAAAACTGACATGTACTTATACCAATTATACGAGTTGTATTACTGGATGGTATTGGACAGCATTAATGAAAGCTTCTTGGTCATTATATAACCCAAAATATCCCATTAAAATTGATAAATGGTAACACTTCTTGGTACGGCTCCATGTGTACTCTGCATTTGGAAGACAGGGATCTATTTTCGTTTTGTTCGACTGGTACACAAAAGTCTTGTCTTTAACAAAAATATGGTGGCTTCTATTTATGGACTCGTCATAGATTTCTAGTAATGGTAAGGAAAGAATGCAACAGATAGAGTTATAGCAAATGATAGAGTCTTAATTACTAAAACAAAATGATAGGCATATGAAACCGTTAGATTTATAGCGAATTTCTCTGTACTTGGCAGGTGCGTGTTGACAACAGGTGGTATAAAGAGGGGCATCTGACCTAAGTATAAAAGGTACAGCCATACGGTTTATTCATAAAAGAGATTGACTCAAAAAGAGAAAATGACCAGAATTAAGCGAGTTTTCAATAACGGGATTATCTTCCACACTGTTTACGTTTTCCTATTTGTCCCCAGACTGTTTCCAAACAACATAAAAGAGTGTTTTAATTGGCCTGAGAGTTTAAGAAGCAAGATGCCTTATCGCTCTGAATGCTGACAAGGCCTGGATACAAGTGAATTTTATTGTAAATAGAACCCTTAAGTCCCCGACAAAAGACCTACTATATATATATTATAAAGTCTTCCGCTCTCAACATTGAATCATAATCCGAGATGATAAATCGAACACCGGTGTTTGTCAAGTGTCGCTGAAGGCGGGTAGTTATAGGGCAACCAACAAAAGTCAATACACGGGGACAAGGAAAGCAGAACGTGTATGTCTTTTGGTAAGAGTCGTCAAAAAATCTGTCACTTTAACGATATGAACAAATACTGCAACCACAAAAAGGTACCCGGTGAATTTTCTATGTGTGCTTTGTAATATTGAAAGTTTCCTACTCCTAAAGGGTTATACCTACTCAAGTATTTCTGCCGTCAGATTCTATTCTGAGAAGAAAAAAGAACTAAATTTTCGGTCGCTTTGCAAATCAAATAAACTTTTAATCGGCTTAATGAAACTCAAGTGAACGACGGAAATTACAATGCCAAGTTCATTATTTAAACTCAACCGCTTTGTAAAGAAATATTTCACATTATAAAGAATCCAAATGCGCATCGCTGCATTTTTCATTGTATCTACTTCCCACAGTTTGGTAATATCTAATTAATGAACCTTTAATTAAAGTTTTCTCGCATTTCAAACCCGCAGGTGCGATAATTATTACATACACTCGTCAACCTTCGGGATTGGGGCTAGGTGTATTGGCAGAGCCCCATTGACAGCTCTGGTCACGGTTGGGGGAGTCCTTTTATACCCGTCTGTGCCCGTTCAATGGGACCGAATGCTAATAAGCGATAATCAGGCTAGAGTTTCATGAGAAAAGATTTAGTTCAGCTTTGTTTAAGAAAGTACTGTTGGTGAAAAATAAGACATTTTCTGCGATCTGTGGAGAAATAGTCAGGAAGAGAATGAATTTTGTGTTTATACATGGTTCCTAATGAGTAAGAGATAGAAGGTAAGAAAAGGTGTATCTATTGATCGAGATGTAGGCAATTGAGATTCTCTAACTTTAACCTCAATTTTTTTTAACTTTAAATTCAAGCTGTTATTTTTAATAGATATATATGCTATATATTCATAACATGTATATGTACTAGTAGTTTATTACATACCGGTAATCTGTAAGGTTTTATGGTAAACTAGGTAATTCGTGCATTGCAAAAGAATGTATTTTCAATTATATTTTTTTTTGCATTTACAAACTTTTAATCGTGTATCTATTTTATTCGAGTTCGTGATGTTTTCTATTTTATTTTTTCAACTTGACAATAACTGTAGACCTATCTTTCTCTTGTAAAACTTTCGGATATTGCAAGAGGAAATATAATGTTTTCTCTGTGCAAGTTACCCTTTCTCCACACCCGAATATCTAACATGATATAGCCATCTTTTATGGTATTCTTTTTAAAAAAATGGTAAGATCTAAACAATGTCTTTGGACAAAAATATTATCAGAGGAAGGTAGAGAAGGGGGAGGTGGGGGCAAGATATTCCAAATCTAACCCTGGTATTATACGTAGAATTGCTACTAGAAAGCAAGAAGCACTAATAAGAACAAAGAAGAAAGGGGTTTTATATTCTACTAGTCCAAATGTATCTTTTGATCATCTTATTTGCATTGTATGTCCATTGGCAATAGATATATTTTCTTCTTGTAAATACTGTATATATAGTCTGTGAAAACGTTTACTATGGCTCCAATGACTAGATAAACAATATCCATTTGTCAAGTCAAACTTTACTTTTTTTATGACCCTGACACCCACATATGTTCTTTCATGATGTTTCCAAAAGGACGCTATTAAATAATAAAAATAAAGTTACACCCGATTAAATTTTCATATCTGTTTCATGTGTCTCCCTCCATTTGTTTTCTCTGACTAATACACTTTTGATGTTTTATAAATTATTTTACATACAATTTCCTTATGGTTTTCAAATTTATTTACCTGCTAAAAGTATAACTCATGAATAAATAAGTCATTTGCTACCCTCGTATTATGTTATCGCTGAACAAGCATGAATGGATGTGAACCAATCAGGTTTGCTCTCTTTCTTTTTTTTTTTCTCCCTTTGATGTTTGTTTGAAAAATAAAACCCGTCTTTTTAATATTCATAAAATACAGTTTTTGTCATCTTATTCAAAAGATGCAATTCAATACATCCATACTAGGTTTCTACCCACAGACCAAACCGTTTTTAAAAGGCATATATAGACAACTGTGTTTTCATTCATAGGGTGTGTTTCTGGAGTAACCTTGAGATCTCTTTTCTTCAAAATATGAAGTACAAACGTCTTAATGGTGGTCTATTTTCTTATCTTTCTTCATTGGTAACTAGTCTTCGTATTGGCATTGTTCTTTCCTCTCCAACTCCATTGACTTCTAAAAACACAAAACAGAATATATGCTTTTCACAGTTTGGACAAAACAGGGGTTAACCTTACAAACAATATTTATGTAAGCGTACAGGACTTAGTATGTAGTAAACAGACCAAATAAGATTATAGGATGTCAATTTGTAAAGCGGATTACAAACTCCCGGTGGGATTGCCGGTCACGTGGTTTCATTATACCGAACCCGACTATTAAAATGTAATCATTTACTTCCAAATGAATTGTTCTTTCATTTACCATATGATTTTGTCTGTATCTTCTTTTTTTATTTTCCCACAGAATTGACACTTTACATGTACATTGTTTACTTTTTGAAATGCAGTTTAATCATAGCAATCAAATGGTTTTGTTGCAAGATATCAGAAACTGATTGAATATATACACTGTATATCATGACTGTTCGGAAGAATAGCAAACTTAAGATTACATCACGATTTCAAGTTGATATAGTTTGTAAAATAGTCAGACGATTTGTTAGTTTGTTCAGATCCACTGGATTTTAAAACCACATAATTACTGGTATCGAGATATTGATCTCGTACAACACGGATGATACCAGTGAGTCTGATATCATCTATCAATATGATCCCTTATCTGTAAAACAAAGTTTCTTCGTCTATAAATTTAAAAACCCACAAAATCAACTTTACATAAAAGAAGATCTATGACTAGATGTACATGTACGTGTGTAAGCCTAAGTTGATGATTCACTGCCCAAATGGGATTCCCAGAAGTGTACTAAGCATATATTTTTTTCCTGTACGTGCCGAGGCAAAAACGAAATAAATTATACTTCAAAAATGAATTAAAGGCTGTTGAGTAATATTTACTTTTCACTCGGGTCGTTGCGATAAGATTAGAGTTCTTTTTTAACATCTACAACTTGACGATGTACAAAGCACCGTGCACTCTGCTTAGTTTATATCGGGGTATGTTGACATTATGTAAATATATTGATATAACATGAGTGGAAAAAACTGCAATGACAAATACAAGTACAATTTATCATTCTTATCTTTCCTCTGCTTGTCAACAAAGCCTCAATTAAAAGAGAGTTCTTATGATCACTAAGCCCTTAGATTAAGTGGAAGTAAAGTTTAGACACAGCTTTGGATATAGACATTGATTTTTAGGTGTTCTGTGTGCAAGACAGATTTTGGTAGGTAAAGTTTCTCTTATGCCTGTATCATTACTTTCTTTAACGACATGTACAGACAAAGAAATGAATGCAAGGTAAAAAATTTTTGTAAATTTATATCGTGTAAGCTACTAAAGCTAGCGAATCTTTCTGTAGGGAAAGTACAGGGATCAAGTAAAGATCATTTGTTAAAAGTTGAAATGTTTGTCCGTAATTTGTTTATTTACAAAATCCATATCTTTCAATAAAAAAGTCTGACAATTTCAGAAATCTCAAAAATCGAATATCACTTCCAAACATCATTCACGTATGTCTGGTATAACGTACACTAATCGAAATGTTGTTGTGAACTCAAACTTACGAGAAGTCATTTTGACCATTTTGAATTCTTGAATTATAAAACCGATACCTGCAATAAATTGGCTAATATTCAATTCAGATTAACAGTAACTGTAATTACTTGGGATGGGCAGATTTGAAGCTTAGCTACTTAAGACGTTCTTTGCATTATTGCACAGCATACAAAACATAGTGAACAGTGTAAAAATGTCAAACAACAACAACATTGAACAACAACAGTTTAGCTGTAGATTTCTAATAATTCTGATTTCTTCTGCTTTTAACAGTGACCTTTAGCCACTTGTTAATGGCCGCTCTTAACATACACTAGGTCAACAATTAAAAGTCAAACTTCAGTGCCCATATGTTAAGTAATAAAAGTTAGATCCTTGTGGATTGAGCTTTAATATTCGCCAAATCCTTTACTTTGAAGTGTAACATTATGCAATGCCTCTTAAACAAGTTGACAGAAACAACCAACAATATTCTGTAATTTCGGTGAAGAAACAAGTAATAATGTTTAATGATCAGTTTTACGACTTAAAAAAAGTTGTTGATCTGATTTTATTATATAGGTGTTGCGTACGGCAAATAAGATATCTATATTTTGGTCTTCTGGATGGGTAAGTTTTTCATGACGTTAGCGAAATCTTTGCCTTTAAATCCAGAGTGAGATTATCTCGGGGTTATCCTAATCTTCTTAATTATCCAATGTGTGTGGCTCCCTCACTACCAAATTTTAGCAGGTATTTTATAACATAGTTAACTTTGTATTAATTAAGACCGCTGAAGGCCTCTATTTGTGGCTAAAGTTTTGACATTATTTCATACCTTCTATTTGCAGTGCACAGCGTCAAGATGTGACTGGATCAACCTTAGTCAAGAAATATAAGTTTTGAATTTAATTTATTTGGATTACTTATTCGTGTCGCTTAATTGAAGTTCATCAACAAAAATGTCTTGGTTCAAATTTTGGAAGAGTTCAAAATCAAAATCGAAGGACATTAAAGATGAATACCAAAAGGAACTTAAAAGAGCGGAATCACTAAGAGAAGATTCCAATTTAACGGAAGCGGAACGTGAAAAACAAAAATTGAAGCACACACTGTCAATTTCCCGATCTGGGAGATTCAAGCATAAAAAGAGAGAACGGGGAGCGATTCTGGATAAACCGGAACTATTTGATAAAACATTGGACAATGGCAATGGAGGAAGACCTACAGTGAAACCACCAAATCCTCCATCCGGGCATTCACGATCTCCAAACAACACATGTCGAGATGTTCGGGATGTGTTTCAATCTAACTATACTTCCCATGTGGCAGCGGTTTGAAATTATTCCCAAAAGTTGTACCAAAGTGTGCTTTTGCAATATACATGATTAAATGCGTGCATTGATGATAAAATTATATAAAGGGCAATATTTATTAAGAACATTGAAGACATTGTACTTAAAAAATCATACTTTGCAGGTCTTGTTGTCAAAGAAGTAACGTAGTGCTATCCGAAATTTCTCTGTCTCAGCTTGTTAACAGTGCTGTCGTCCAAAGTGTACAAAACTTTATTACAATGTATTTTTTATTTCTTCGCCAAAGTCAACATGGTCAAGTTCGGAGTATTAGTTAAGCAATGATTTGATTTGGAGCTTTGAGGAAGTAGTTCAGCGCTAAAGAATGGTTGCAAGGACCTTTTGTATACATTCATAAAATGTTTTTTGTACATGTATATCGTATTCTATTATGAAACATTTTGTTTCACGTTTTATAAAATTATATTTTGTTACATTGTATGCCCATTCTGACATAGAATTGATTGTTGCTTTTTCAATACATTCCTATTTTCATAAATTGTCAATCCCGACCTTTCACTGCTTTACCGTGAAGAATTCCAAAAACCTCAATTTGATTTAGAACAATCTCCTTATAATGATTTAAAGCTTTATTTAGTTAGTGCCAATAACCCAAAGAAATGATTTTTCACTTTGATTTCATATAGAAAAAATGTCCTTTTTGATCCTTTAAAAGGAATATAATCACCGCGTACTATTGTTCCAAAAATGAAAAACCTTGATTTTTATCTCGTATTTTCTGCTCGTTGCGACGAGACGTCTCTCTCGTGTTGTGTACGAAAACAATGGAGGTGAAAACAATTCAGTAGAACTCAAGTTCTAGATGACTTCTAGATGTCATTTTAATCACCAATCGTTTTTAAGTTACGACTGTTTTTAAGGACTTCATTTACAATATTACCCATGCATAAACAACTTGCTTTTTGAACTATGAAAAGAAGCTAGGTTATACTGTAGTTGAATATGCAACTGGTGTGATTTGATAAAAGTGTAGTTTTCTTATTTTAACGTGGTCATTTGACTACAGACTGTACCGGAGGTGTTTAGAGAAATGAGTTGTATGTTGGAATAAATCCATAAAATTCTTCTGTGATTATCTATGTTTGTAATGCATATGTTTTGTTTAACATAATAAAATACGACAAAAACCAATTTGTAAGTTCTTTACTATACTACTATACAATTATGGATTAATCCCTTTTAATCAACATCAAAAAGAAATCAATCTGTTTCTCCTCGAAAGATCTGTGCAAAATTAACATAAACCTAACCCTAGTTTAAATTCATCTGCATCGAAAATTGTTTTGGTTTGAAGGACAGGGTAAAAACTTGTGGAATAGAAACGTGATCTTATAGGCCATTATAAGGTGTTTTAATGTTAGATTACCTTGTCTGTAACTTTAGGACAATGTTTCCCCTTATTTCTCTCTTTTTAGAAGTTCAAGGACAAATACATGCACAAGGTACCTTTTCTATAAGCTTTTCCCAGTTTGGGTAATCTGAGATATGAAATTTTTATCAGTGAAAGTCCATAATTCACATTTACCTTATACTTATGAAGTAGTTAACAATTGTGGAATTACTTGACATTCAATAACATGTACTTCAGAAATATTCAAAGGACAAGATAAGCTAAGACCCCTTTCTGGCCATTGGTTTAGGGTCTAGCTTTTAGAATGATGAAATATTAAAAAACAAAAAACTGTTGACATCCTGTCACATAAAGGTAAGAAAATATGCCAATTACCGTATTTGGAATCAAAATAAGCGCTGTCTTTAAAACAAGCATCATTTTAATTAAGTTCTTAAGGTAATGGTCCATACCACGTCAAATAACGCTATATGTTTAACTACAAACTATTTTTTTCCGCCGAAATATGGCTGAAACATTGCCAACTCGGCGTTAAACAACATAAAATCAATCAATCAACAAACTATTTTTTGTAACTGTGTTCTGATTTTTACATCAAATAAATTTAAGGGTCAATTCGATTATCATTTTTTGTTGCCATTCTTTGTCCCTTGATTAATCAAAACATTTGCTATAATATACTAGAGGAGCTGGACTGATCTTTTAACCAAGAATTTTTGTAACTTTAAAGCAGCCCTCAACAAAACCTGTACGTACAAGGATAAACAAATCGGTGCTAAATATGTTGTAATGATCCTCAATCCCTGAAGTCACTATTTCCTGAAAGAAGTTTGCCATACTTAGAGTTAAATTTAGTGTAATATAGAAATCTTGTTACACATGTATAAGAGAGAGGATAAGTAGCACATATGTGTTTGTAGATTGTAAAATAAGTCTAGAGTAGTGTATTGGACAAAGGCTTTGGGTGTGAGGAGAAAAAAAAAGTCCACATTTTTTTTTTTAATTTTGTGACTTTCGAGGTGCTGTTCACTTTAAAGATGGCACGTTATGGAAATAAAAATTTAAATATAATAAATATAATAAATATATGTCCTTTTGTGGAACTGATTGGTGTTATTAACGAACAGGTCATGTTTAATCATAGTAAAACAGAATTATTCATGAGATCTAGCTAGTCAGTGATTTGCAGTTGAGGGAACATAATTATATTAATGCCAAAAAGCTCAAAGCATAATAGAATGGTTCAACTAAAGAGCGATTCAGAAAACGTGCATGTGTGCATGCAGATTTTAATTCCATTTTGGTTATACGGACTCTACTGTACGTAACAAACTGAACTGTGTATTTTCTTGAACGGTGTTTTTATGCCCCCGGATCGAAAGATTCCGAGGGTATATTGTTTTTTTCCTGCCTGTTTGTCTGTCTGTTGTCAACTTTAACCTAGCCTATAACTATTGAGTGGATGGGGCTATGGCTTTCATATTTCACAGGTGTATTCCTTGTAACAAAACCTTTGGATACCACCGAATTTGACCTCTTGATCTTGGAGTTTAACCTACTTTTACAAAAAAAATACCACACTTTAACATTGTCCATAACTTTTGAACAGTTGGAGCTAGGGCTTTAATACTTCCTGATGTTTCATTTATTGTGAGTTGTGACAAGACATTTCAGCTGGTATACATATTTTTTACCTTTACATAAGAGTTTGACCCACTTTTAAACACTTTAACCTTGGTCTTAACAATTGAACAGTTATTTTACATGTGTATACCAACACTTTTGACCTTGACCTTTGGAGTTTGAGATGCATTTGAGAGAATTCAACCCTCACCATAAGCTGCCATACGGGGACATCAGTGTTTCACAAACATATCTTGTTTCTTCGTTTCTATTCAACTAATAGTCCTTGTTTCATATACGGAACCCCTGTACCCGTTTCGTTTCTTAAAGTATAAAAACCACTCCGAAAAAATATATTTGACAACTTTTATACCTTAAAAAAAACTTGGACAACAAAAACATGACATCGCCCAAACTCAGCAGCCCTATATCATAAAAGGGTGCGTGTGATTAAACTTTACTGCAGCAAAAGGGTGGGGGTGCAGCCAGAGTTTTAATGATCAATTTCAACGTAAAAATTTTGTACATACTAGTATTTGGAAGAAAGTTGGGGAGGGACAGTCTCCATTTCGATAATGTGTATCCTCTGTCAAAGGTTTCTTCCTTATTTCTTTGCTTTTGTTTGTATTATTTCTTTCAGAATTACTCGGCTATTATGTCTTAAATGCAAAGCAAACTAATTTTACTTGACAAATTAAGGAAGGTGCAGGGTATATGATTTAAAATTCAATTTGTCAACTGTTATTTATTTACCGAGCCATTAAGTTTGATCAGATTGTAAATATTGCTTACAATTATTTATCAGTTTAAATGATTAAACATGTATAATGAGTAAGACATAATATCTAGAGAAATGATAATTTGGATATTAATAACATACAACTGTTGGGTACATGACATATCTTGCATAATTCTGATTTTCCAGATATGTTGTGTTAATCATTTCAAAGTGGGTCACGGAATTTCTCAACAACCTTCAAAACAAGGTTTTTAGCAAGGTCATCGAAGAATAATAATATTGGCAGTATAGTGTATCTTTGAATGTTCTTCTCGTACTACATATCAGGTTTCAACATACATGTACGTCAAAAATTCGAATCAGTTAAAACATCCAAGTTTATGGGATATTTAAATTGTAGTACATGTATTTATATAAAGGATATGATTTACGTACTACTAAATGTGGGGCTGTGGGATTTATAAATAACATGTACATGGAGGGGGGGGGGGTAACTCGGCAATAACCTAGCTTATTTACATTTCCCCTGTGTTTGTGAAAGATACATTAAAAAGTTTATTAAAAAAATTTGCATAAAAAACAATGTTCTTGTTTTTGCTTTTCCTTTCTCTTTTCCAGAATGCACATTCAAACATCTCCATATTTTTTAAAGGTTCATAAAAGATTTGATTTTCAGCTTTCTCAACTCCCTTAAGATAATCATTGAAAGCAAGAAAGCGTGTGTTTGTTAAATGTCCCTCCAGGATTTTTTTTCACTCATTTTACGACTCCACCACTTGCCGGTAGAGGGCTACAAATGTACCCGGCATTTCAGACCTTTAGTAGTGATTGATCTTTTTCGTACGTACTGCGATACAGAACCTCGTTCTCTACGTACGGTCTTATCCGAAGAACTGCACTTTGGGATCGAACAAGCGACGTAAGGGTTTACTCCTTATTGGCTTTTATAATTTTTTGTACAAGTATAATCAATAGCAAAATAACTTGATATTCAAATTATATTACAAGTTTATAAAGTGTAAACCAGCATTCAAATTTCTTAGTTCAAGCTCTAATAATTAAACTGTACTATAAAAATTAACCACGTAAATGTAACACAAAATCGGCAAACTTCTATTTTCAGTGAATTTAGTGCCGAATTACGAGAAAATTGAATGCTAGCCTTCTTAAATATGCAAGACTAATCCGAATGTAACATAGTCTCAGGAAAAAAAGGCAAAATATTTCAAAAAATTCGACTTTTCAACGAGTATTTTGTTACTTTGTACAAAATTTATTGTTTACATACAACCATGTAAAGTCAAGACTTTTATCAACTAATTTATCACTTTGCATACGGTTTAAAACATTGCTGGGAAGTATCTCTCAAGCCACAATAAATAGAAACATTTACAAAATTATCAAACGGAACTGTATCTCAGATAATGAAATGAAATCTGAATGTGTTCTTTTTTTTCATAAAAAGAATTTAGATATGATTCTTCGGCGTTTTCATTTCGTTTCGTGACGTAATTCATTATGACGTCACTGATTTTTAAATAAGTGAGCAGCAAAATTGGTTATGTAAACCCGGAAAAGAAAATGAGTGGAAACTTTCCTATGGAAGATCTTAGCCTGCCATTATTTGATAAGGTTTACGGAAAACACACTAAATACACCGACCATGAAGAGGAGGAAGAAAACATCTGGACGTTAGGAATGACAGTCGGAGAACGATTGGCAGTAAGAGAAAATCTGCTGCAACGAAGGAGGAATATAGTAGATGTTCAGCTAATTGCGGCTCTATTTGGCTTCATACTTATGCTTGTAGAAAACGAACTTTACTTATTAGGATGTATTACTAAATCGTCGATAACATCTATTGTCCTGAAATCCTTCATTTCATATTCAACTATCATACTGCTCGTATCCATTATTTTGTACTATGTGACGGTAGTCCAACTACGCATGACAGATAATCATTTGAATTCCTGGAGGCTAGCTGTGACATTTCGCGATACCTACTGTAAGATTTTCTTAGAATTATTTGTATGCGCGCTTCATCCTTTGCCAATTAATATCACTATTCCAATCTCCAAACCAAACGGAGAAATAGTTAACGCTTCATCTGACGCCATTATGTCCATACTGATGATTTTACGTGTCTATCTTCTTGGCAGAATGGCTGTAGTTCATAACAAGCTTCTAGCAGGGACAGCAACACACGGTTTAGGAGCTCTGAATAAAGTCAAAATTGATGCGCTATTTTTGTTCAAGGGGCTGATGTCCACACATCCCGGGAATGTGTTGATAGTAATTATGATTTCTATATTACTCATCAACTCTTGGGCCATGAGAACATGTGAGGCGTTCTATCAATTTGAGAAAGACCACTCGGACTACTGGACCATGATGTGGATGGTATCAGTGACATTTTTAACCATTGGATATGGTGACATATATCCCATTAGTGTATGTGGACGGTTTGTTTCTGTGGCTACTGGTCTAATGGGGGTCGGCACCACAGCACTTCTGATCGCCGTTTTAGCACAGAAGTTAGAACCATCTAGAGCAGAAAAATACGTGTACAATTTTGTACTAAAGGCACAGTTGGATAAAAGGAGGAAGACGGCAGCCGCTGACGCCATTAAGAATTGGTTTCAGCTTTGTCGTCTGCGAAGGAGTAATGTCATGAACATGGAATACATTCGCGTTCACGGAAAACTACTGCAAGCCATAAACGCCATGCAGGAAGCAAAACGCAAGAGGGATTCCACCGGCGAGTCCACGATTGGTTTCATCGAAATCAGTAAAGGGATGAGTGACGTGGAGAAAAAGACGGAAGATGTACAGCGATCCATCTGGGGCCTGAAATCGGACCTTGTGTACATGCAGAAAATGGCCAGAGACTTGCAATGCAAATTTAACGATATACACAGAGTCCTGGTTAGAGATAATACACGATATAAGCCAAATTAAGAAGAATCATTTTATTTTTTTGTGTGTGACATTTTATATTTAGTTTAAAATATATCATGGAAATGTCTACATGATAATATTAACTAATGGAGTTTTTTTAAGGACATCTTGCTGGGAATTGACATAACTGGTTTTAAATATTGTATGGTTTAAAATACAAACAATTAATCGGTATTATATTTTAGATTTTATTGTCTGAAAGTAAGAATTTAAACTTGAATCCCTCAACCTCTCTCTAAAAAACAAACTGAATTGTTTTTCTTGTGCCGAGGAGAAATGGTTTTTCCAATCTCCTACTTCCCCTGTAAGTAAATCAAGTGTTAAACAATAATTAATAAGTTACTGAAGCATGAAAAGTTTACATCTAAAACGTTAAAAAAAGTGACACTGGATTGATTTGCGAATTCCTTATCTTGTATGACTGAATTTAATTGAACATGTATGTTGTTTTACGTTATATTTTAATTGCGAGCTTAGTTTGCTTACCTTTACGGTATATGAAACCTAATCTTCCTGATTTCTTGCGCTCTCTTAATTTTAAAATATGGCAATCAGAGGCAATTCGAACGGCAGCTTCCTTGTCACATGGTATGCCCAAATATTCCGCAATCCTTCTTACACACTCTACTTCATCCTGAATATATATATATATGTAATATGATAAAAGTTTGGAGATTTTTGCATCATAAATGTTAAGCATGCAAGTAAATTGGCTATGTAATAATTTGAATATTTAAAAAATAAAACAGATCAAACTAGATATCACTGAGATGGTGGCCATCTCAAAAGGTCCCACTTTCAGCTTTGAACATTGGCACAAAAATTACGAAGGCTCCATACCCTCTATTAAAAAAAAAACACAAAAGTCACGAATGTTGCATATCCTCTATGAAAATTGGTGTACATGTACATGTATATCCTCTATCAAAATTTGGAAGGAAAATCACAAATAATCCGTACCCTGAGTCAATTGGTAAAGTTTGAGGCTGACTGGATCCATTGAGCAGTGTTAATCTTTGAGTGAAGTGTGAGCCACTTTGGACCAAGGGGAGAGGATATACTGTACACCAACTTTTATTCGCGACGACTTTATTTCGCGATTTACCAGGGATAAACTAGTTCGCGACGATTAATTTTCGCGATCAAGCCTTTTTGCATCTGTTTATAATAGATAAATACACTATAAGGAACGGTTCACGGCTAGAAATATTCGCGATGAAGCTCTCGCGAACTTCGCGAAAAATTCTCACACGTGAATAAAAGTTGGTTTACAGTATATGCTCCAGACATGGATTTTTCATTTAATTATGCTATGACCTTAACCTTAGCCCAAGAAACATGGTTCATGGTCACTGCACACCCTTTACCCGAAGATACTCTTAGGGTGAAGTATGAGCCGCATTGGGCCAAGGAGAAAGAAGACGTGCTCCGGACAAGAGATCTCGGACGAACAGACGGGCGGAAAGATGGACGGATATACAGACTGATCATTATAAGGCACCCACAGAGCGGGGCGCTAATGGATCGTTAATCTTTATAACCATTAAAAGTAACCCCAAATTCACCCAGAAACTGGTGAAGGAAAATGTTTTTTTTTTCAAATATACATGTCTATTAATTTTAAAAATCGTGGGAAGAAAATACAGCAAAGAAAATGCAAGCCTTCTAGAATGCCATTTTAGAAGGTTATTTATAAAGTTTGTAGTCGCCCGCGTACTGGCGCAGTGGTTAGAGAGTCTGCTAGTGTCTCGTAGAAGAAGTTTATCCTTACGTCGCGGGTTTGAATCCCATTGTTGGGCGAGAAGACGGTCCTTCGGATGAGACCGTATAAACCGAGGACCCATGTTGCAGTTACTGCTTGCACGAAAATCCCTCAGTGCTCAATGGTCTCGAGTGCATCTAACATACGTAATAATTTGCAGCTCTCCACCTTCAAGTGGTGGCGTCTCCAACGACAAACAAAGTTTGTATGAATCTGAAACAAAAGAGAAAAGTAAGTCTCAACCGAAATCTTACCGACTTCATATCTTCGTATCGCAGAACTAAAACATTGCCAGATTTGGAGAATTTCTCCCATTGAAGTTCATACTGGCACCATTCCCCGTACATGAAATCTGTGGAAATTTGTAATAAAAATGGCCATCAATGACTAATATTTTACCGACTTTGAAGGGGTGTGTTCAGTTAGTATGCCGTATGAAGAAATTTCTGTATTTGTTTTAAAAAAGGGAATTAAACGCTATGGATATTGAATTCCATTTGTATTGCACATTTATCTGACACTTACTGCCTGACATAAAATCGGAAAGATGGCTGTTCCAATCTGTGGGTAAGTAGTCCTTGAAAAATGGTACATTCAGGAAGTGGTAGTAAGCCGAGACAGCTATGTCCCTAGGGTCACGGACGATGTGTATTATCTTCCTTCCGTTTTTGATATGGTCCTCTGGCAGGAAATGAACAGGTAGATGTGTGTAAAGAATTCGTGGGGATGGTAAAGAATCCATTCGAGAAAATTCGGGTATTATGTCCAGGAAAGTGTGTTCCATTCGAGGAAATTTCGCTTCTTGGTCGTGGAGTACTCTACACAAAAATTCATGCATCCAATGACTTCCTGCGAATAAAATCATGTCACTGTTAAATCAGTTTTTATAAACTGAATTGACGACGGATAATTATTTCCTGATCATGACAAGAAGTACATGGCGGGTGTGACCGGTCAGCAGGGGATGCTCACACCTCCATGGCTCCTGATCCCACCTCTGATGTTTACAAGGTCCGTGTTTTGTATTGTTTTATGGAGACTTTGATATTGAATACTGTTCGTTATCTCCATATTCTTCATGTTAAACTGAGAAACAAATGAAATAAATGTTAAAGTGACTATATAAACTTATACATAATGTTACTAAACTTGCTTTTGACGTAGGTACTTAAGTCACCAGATAAAAATCAGATCACACATTTACTACCTGATGGTACTTCATATGTGAGACTTAATTTATTTATTTATATTTTATTTTATTTTTCAATTACTTTATTTCATTTATTTATTTTTAAGGTAGGATTCTTCTCTGGTTTCTGATTAGTTGATATATTCAAGTATCTTTGCTCATTTATGTCTTTTATATTTAGGTGTAAGAGATTTTTAAAATACAAACATTTTTCTTTCCTCATCACAACTATATAACTTTAAATAGAAATGGTAAATTGCGTTTGACAACTACCAGGGACTATATTTTTGGCGAGAATGGTGGCGTAAGGAAATATCTTCTTTTCTGCCTCTCAAAGTATTTTTAGAACAATGAATTAAGTTATCATTTTTACACAATCAAAGACTTGAGGAAATTTTCAAATGCAAGTTAAATGAGGGACGGAAGTTTCAAAATACATGTACTAGTATATCATTCAAACAAACTAGAACTATGTTAGCTTTTAAAAGCTTCCAATTTAACTCCAGATTTGAGCCAAAAATTCGTAAAAAGTGTTTTTTGAAATTCTCTCTTAGTCTCTTAGTAAACGATGAAAACCTTTTTTGTATCATTTTGTATCTTTACAATAATTATGTGAAAAAAAAGAAATTTTTAAAATATAATAAGAAGCGTATAAAAATTTAATGTACTGGACTTACCTGATTTAGGATATGAACTGACAAGTATATCATCGTCTCTGGTCTGTAAATGTTGTATTTCCTTTAATCGTTGTGTTGCATCCCTTATGTAAGTATCAAACGGCGGGAGAAGAGTCCCATCGGGGCATCTCGGGAGCGGCTTATACATTCTGAACTAACAAAGGCCAAAATTATTCTTTTTTGCGTGACTACTTTATCTATCAGACACACTTATACGATAAACATGATAACAGTGCATATATATACGTATAATTTGTTTTGACTAAACAATCATAAACTAAAGTAGATCGACAGATGTGCATAAAATAATTCAAAATAAAACTATTATTAAATTCGTAAAGATAAAACTTTCATCGTCGATGATGTGGCTAGATAGCTTCGATTTGAAGCTATCTAGGGAGGCGGTGCTAACCAATGATGTTGGCATAGAGTGCATACCTCACGCGAATACCATTCGTGAAAAATGACTTCTGCATGCATGGTACACTAAGTATCTGACACAGAGTTCCACACGCGAATACCATCCGGGAAAAATGACTTCTGGTACACTAAGTTTCTGGCATAAGGAACCGGGAACACCATGCTGTTTCCCCTGGTTGTAGTGGCTGGGTACAGGAGGAGTGGTGGAATTGAGCTGGTACACTATGCGGTGTGTCATGACAGCTTTTGCTTGACCACGTCTGAAGGGATGTCCATCTCAGCTGTTTCAATATGTCTTCGCTGCTAGTTGTCCTTTGGTCATATGTTACCATACGGGCAGCTCGTCTTTGGACCATCTCCAGTTTGCCAATCAGTACTCAAGTGTCCCTGGTGTAAGAATTCCAGGTCTTGCTCCCGTATTTCAAGATGGGCCTGACTAAGGTCTGATAGCGTAAGGCCTTTGTTTCTGATGGACACTTGATCTTGCTACCCTTGCAATTTTTTGATTTGATATACAAGTATAAATTGCAGTGTAAAACCTCTTTTGCTGGGCCCATCTTCCCCTGGGTTCACGTCATGGTTTGAACAAAAATTAAGAGCTAGGCACGCACACTAAAATAGCTCAACGTGGCCTCGCAGTTCTTGGGAGGGAGATTTTTAAAAGCTTTTTTTTTGTTTGTTTGTTTGTTTTCATACATGTACATTTCTATGTAAAACTGAATTTGATTCCCAATAATTGTATCCAAACCATTGCTTTGGGTCATGTTTTTCAAAAAAAAAGTTTGGATTTACACTGCCTGTGCATCAATTCCCTCTAACTATAAATGCTTTTCGGCAAGTTTGGTTTAAGTTTTATTAAAACTTACCCAGTGGTCCTGGAGACGTGAAAAGGTGATTATAGACGAACGGACAATCAACATGTTGTCAGAAAATGTCCCTTAAACATTTGCTTCAGACAGGTGATGTGTCAATCCATAAGACTGTTAAGTTTAATTATTGAATTAAGTTAATTATTGAATCATTGCTTTACGTACCTGTTTATTATTTTTGACCTACATACAGTCATGTATGGAACGTTATTACTGTCATTATAAACATATTTTTTCACATTCCATATTATGCTTTTTCTGAGCCCATGAGTCGAATACATTTCATAATAATATATATGATTATTTTCTCTTGCAGCTATCGCAGTTGGAAGAAGAAAAATGTTATAATTGTTATTTCAAAGGAAACGTGTTATAGGTCTATTTTTAATCGGGTTTGATGAACACGAAATTAGAAAAAGAAAGTAGGTCCATGTGGTTTTTCTTGAAAGTTTCCAGAATCTACAAAAGGACATATAGCCATATAAATCTTTCAGTCAAGAAGTTAAGTTTAACCTATTGTCATGTTGTAAATTTTGAATTTACCGGGTGGCAGTAAATACAAAATTTACAACATGACAACATTTTGTATTTACTGCCACCCGGTAAATTCAAAATTTACAACATGACACTATTGACAAACAATTTAAATTTGATTCTGTTCATTATAATGTTAGACAGTGGTATACCTCACGAGGTAGTAGCAGCCATTGATGTGAATACAACTGCAAACAAGATTTACAAGCACAACTTTCCTGGAACCAAGTTAATGGATTGTGGAATTGAGGTGAGACACTTTTATGTTTTCCTTATCAAAATTAAATTCAACAAATACTGATAAGTTTTTGTCCAGATTTCTATAAATGTATCATACCTATTACAAGTCAGGTAATATTATTAATAAATGTTTAATACTAATATTTTTAAGATATAACAGCACTGAAATTAAACCAGAAGTCTCTGTCGAGACTGTAGCTCTACTGGTTTGTACTTATCAAAAACCATTGCACTATTTTATGTATCTTGGTGTAGTCTACTTGTGTGCCAACTTATTTTGAAATCAAACTAAAACTGTAGAAGGAGTAGCGTTTTAAAGGAATTTCACAGAAAATTCTATTTTTAGTAACTATGGTAACACCGTTTATCGAAACCAAAACCCGATGCACTATTCTATGTATCTTAGTGTAGTCTACTTGTGTGCCAAGTTATATTGAAATCAAACCAAAATTGTAGAAGGAGTAGCGTTTTAAAGGAATTTCACAGAAAATTCTATTTTTAGTAACCATGGCAACACCGTTCATCGAAATCAAAAACCGATGCACTATTCTATGTATCTTAGTGTAGTCTACTTGTGTGCCAAGTTATATTTAAATCAGACCAAAATTGTAGAAGGAATAGCGTTTTAAAGGAATTTCACAGAAAATTCTATTTTTAGTAACCATGGCAACACCATTCATCGAAATCAAAAACCGATGCATTATTCTATGTATCTTAGTGTAGTCTACTTGTGTGCCAAGTTATATTGAAATCAGACCAAAATTGTAGAAGGAATAGCGTTTTAAAGGAATTTCACAGAAAATTCTATTTTTAGTAACCATGGCAACACCGTTCATCAAAATCAAAAACCGATGCACTATTCTATGTATCTTAGTGTAGTCTACTTGTGTGCCAAGTAATATTGAAATCAGACTAAAATTGTAGGAGGAGTAGCGTTTTTAAAAATTGTTTACAGACAGACGGACAGACAGACAGACGGACGGACGCCGGACGCATTACTATCGCATAAGCTCTTCTGGTCTCTGACCAGTAGAGCTAAAAATCAATGTTTATTATATCCCCCCCCCCCGGCTTGAAAAGCTAAAGGGTATGTTTGTCCATCTTTTATGCTTTGGGGTACCCATCTCTTATCCACAACTTCTCTCATACCACTGAATGAAATTTGATGAAACTTTCACAGAATCTTTATTACATATTGCCATTGTGCACCTCCTGTTTTACTTTTTGATCCGAAACATATTTTGGGTTTTCCACAACAAAACGTTGACATATGGGAGGCGGGGGTATCATTAAGTGAGCTCATTGTTCACAGTACCTCTAGATTTTGCTTGGAACTTTTTAAAAATAGATTTAGAAATTTTGCAATATGTCTATATATATATTGATATTTTTTTTATTATTCACATGTACTTCCTTCAGTCACTATCTGCCAAAAAGCTTGATGAGATGAAGATAGATATGATTTTGATGAGTCCCCCTTGTCAACCATTCACTAGAGTTGGTAAGAAACTGGACGCCAATGACATCAGAACCAGCTCTTTCCTTCATCTGTTGTCCTTACTTCCAAGGTATTAGTGGCTGTGTTAATTATTACAAAGTTTAGTTGTACACGTTTTTGTATCTCGTTATACTAATGGTCAAACTTGATAGGACCAGAAAAAACTTTGAGATATCCAAGAGCTTGAGATATCAAGGGTAAAATACTTAATAAATATGTGGTTAGGACTTCCCAGTCATTTTGACATATCCATGGTATTCGAGATATCCGTGTTTGAGGATATATCCATGGTATTCTAGATATCTGTGTTCGAGGATATATCCATGGTATTCTAGATATCCGTGTTCGAGGATATATCCATGGTATTCGAGATATCCGTGTTCGAGATACTGAAGTTCAACTTTACCATATACTACCTCCTTCCAAAATGAGGAATATAAATTATTTCCACACAATTTTCTGCAATTATAGTACTTTCTTTCCTGGATGAATCTGATTTTTTGTTGAAAATTGTCCTATTGTCCCATCTTCGCTAGCCAAGGGTTTCTGATCCGAAATCTAGATTTCGGATCGGAAACCCTTGGCTAGCGAAGATGCTATTGTCCTAGAAATAAATTTTTTAAATTTTTAATTGCATGTGGATACTAAATTCAGTTTATTAAATGTACTAGGTTAAATAACTGTCCAAAGTACATCCTCATTGAAAATGTGAAAGGCTTTGAAGAATCTGACACTTGCCTTAAGTTACGTGAAACATTAAGGGAATGCAACTTTGCCTATCAGGTATTTAATTTTCTGAAGAAAAAGAAATGATACTTAAACTCAGCTTTGTTACATTATTTTCATTTATCTTGTTTTTAAGCATTATTTGTTATTAATTATTACATATGACTTCTATGCAGGAGTTTTTGCTTTCACCACTCCAGTTTGGCATTCCGAATTCAAGACTACGATATTACCTCATAGCTAAAAGAGAATCTTTAAAGTTTTCTTTCGAAACTTCAGCAGAGGTATTTTGTTTTATTTTTATACTACATGTGTATTGAATTTACAGTACTCTACAGCAAATTTATAAAAAAAGATTGATTTAAATTTGAAATTCTTTTTTGAAGATTCTGACTAAACTGCCAGAGGAAAATTACTTAAAGTATGTCCCAGGGAAAAGTAGTACATTTCAATCCTCAAGTGAAAATGAGTGTCAGACTGAAAAAACAGATGTGGAACATTCTAGCAAAACTGAGGACAGACATACAGAAAATATGCCTAATGATTCTTCTCAGGGAAACATTGCTATGACATGTCCAATCTGTCGAGAGCAGTGCCTACAGACAGCGGGGCATAACATGAGACAGATAACAGAGGATGACTCCAGTCCTTATCCTGACTGCTGCCCTGTGTTGAATTTTTTAGAGAACAAACCTCCTGAGTATTTTGATTCCTTTTTGTTGACCAAAAAAGAACTGAAGAGGTTTCTCGTCATGGACATTGTGTTTCCTTGTTTACTAAAGACAACTTGCTTCACTAAAAGGTTATAAAGCTTTCACATATATTGGTCGGAGATGAATATAAATTTCCTTTTTCAGTACATGTGTATTATATATTTTTTGGTTTCTATTTATTCTAGATATGGTCACTTTATGGAAGGGGCAGGCTCCATTTTCCAAATGTCTACAAATATTTCTGTAAGTATTTATATTGTTTGGTAGTTTTTCAAACCATATATCTTATCAGCTCTTACATGTGCACGAATACATAAAAATGACAACTACAGTTGCTCTTATTGTGTCAATTAATTTTAATTACATTGTCATGTAAACTAATATGATCTCCTTTCTACCAAGGTTTATCCTTTCATAGATAAATTAATACACTCTTAGTATGAAAATATTTCTTGTATACTAGAATATGGAAAAAGCCAGTGAGTTAAAAGATAGAACTCAAGAACTGAAGAATAGAGATGATTGGTCAGATGAGGATTATGAAGTGTTGTCACGGTTACAACTGCGATACTTCACTCCTAGAGAGATTGCCAACTTCCTATGCTTTCCATCCACCTATGGTAAGCTGATGATGGTTATAACAAACAGTTTTTGCCAAATTAATTACCAGGGTCATTGATTCCTCTTTGTTTACTAGTATCTGTTAGTGTTTACTTAAATGCTAGATTTTTAGCTCACATGAGTTAAAAGTTCAAAAAAGGCTCAAAATACCAGTAGCTGTAGCTGGAATTATGATGTAAATTTGTGTTTTATAAAAGGATTGATTTTTTTTCCATTGTAGACTTTCCTGAGGATTTATCTCGAATTCAGCTGTATAGGACTTTAGGTAATAGTCTGAATGTCCATGTGGTGTCTGCTCTTATACAATTAATGGTTAAAAATCCAGAATGACGGGACCAGTGGAACTCAGAAACTGGATATACAATGTGATGCAAAGAACTTATTTCTTTCAAAACGGAAACAGAAAAAAGATGTAGGAATTTATTTCAAAATCATAAGAAATGGTTGTATTTTTGAGAAACAAGATCAAAAATGTATGTATTTGACAGTAAATTTTGAAAATGTTTTGTTTGTGAATACACATGTACTATGAAATCAAAACTAATATTACAACTCACCAGGAAGGAATGTAATATACTATTTTGCTTAAATTTGATATATAGTTAAAGGGTTGCCCACAAGGGCCAGTGACATGGTTAGAGTTGATCCTTACGTTGTGGATTAAAATCCACTGCAGGATGCAGATGGATCAATACTTGGGATGAAGTCCCCTGTCCAATTACTTGTCCCCAAGGAAAAATCCCTTACTGATTAATGGCCATAAGTCAGACAGTATAGCTAGCAAGTAGTGGTCACCTGCTTGACACAGTGGTCAGAGCTCTAGAGTCATGGAGCAAGGATTTGATCCCTAAGTTGTGGGTGCAAATCCACTTGTGGTCATGGTCCTTAAAAATTAAAAATCCTTGTACCACATTCAACAATTGCAAGAGGTTTATGTTACGCACAGCACCATATCTAACCTATAAAACATACCTTTAACAAGGAACAACCAATGTTCGCAAAAAATATGACAGACCACGTGTGATATCAACAGCGCAGGATCGCTTCAAAGGATTACGTAAATTTCATCAATGTTTCACAATGACATTATCTACAGCATTACCTATCCCTGAACTGCACAGAACATCTAACAAGAGCGTTTGCAGTTGACTACGGAATGCTGGAATTATTTCAAGAGGATTATTCATTATTCATGCTATTGTTTTACCATTGCAAAAACCATCTCATGGTCGAGATGTTAAAAACAGAGCTCAAAACTCAAGCCCAGGTCGCGCGGATGGGGTGCGGAGAGAAATTAAAGCTTTCTCTTTTGAAATCGACTTCAGATCAACAGAGTTTGACCACAGCAACACCGCTTAACATTTTTGCTTGGCTACTAGTCCAGAATGTTTATCGTAAACCCTGCCATAAGTTTAACAGTGCTTCGTAATGAACGTATTAAGGCAGAAAACTGCTTCTGGGACGTTGAAAGATTTGGTGGTGGTAGTGTAATGATATGAAAAACGATATTACATGTTCATATTTAAAGGACTTTGATGGAAAAGGTACTCTAGGATGATTTTACCCTATCTTTGGACTTTCAGTAGGGCGTGACTTTCTCGGCGCTACGTAATGGCGAATACTAGTAGATTCTCATTGGTTACGAAATTAATAACATAGGAACTTAAAATTGTTGTTGATAACGATGAGACGACTTATTTCCCACCTCTGTGCCGCGAGAGAACTTTTGATTGGCTATTCACTACACCAGTTGACATTCGGCGGCATTTCTATCATATGTATATTTCAACAGTTATGGGAAGCTGTGTAAATTTCAGATGCTAATTAGGCAATGTCGAGAATGCCACGCCTTACTGAAAGTCCAAACTAAGCGTGTAATTCTTCTAAAATGTTCTACCTGCACATGCTTTTTCAATTTTGCAGCATTCTGGAGCCGTATTTCAATCTAACAATACACAGGCAACGTACGGCTAGTTTCAAACGTTGACAATCACATTCTTGCAAAGCAACGGCAGTCTGTTTCTGCCAGTTATCTACATGTAAATCGGCAGATTTAAACCTAGCTGCAGTAATGTAGCCCTCTCCGATTTTTATATTTGACATTTTCTGGATTGAGTAAGCATTTGGCAAAATCACAGGTACTTGTGGACAGGATACCCCCATATCAGGCACGTAGCATCACTTTTTTCCCAACATTACATTTACTATTGAAAATGTTGATTGAAAGACAGGTTGACCCCCCCCCCCCCCGTTAATACTACGGTAAAGTAATATAAGGGAAATGCAGTATTGTGTGCAAGAAATTGGTACTGAAAGAAGTCGGCATCTGAAAAAAGTTGGCCTGTAACCCCCCCCCCCCTTTACCCACACGATATAGGATTTTCGAGTTTGGGCAATTTTTTTTTGCATGTCAAAAGTAAAAAAAAAAATTGTCTGGCTCCCCCCCCCCCACTTTCAAAAACGATGCTACGTGCCTGCATATACCCCTCCCACCATCAAAAATTATTTTGACCTTGGGTATATATGGGGGGGGGGGGGCTGTCCACGAGATTACCTGTGATTATCAATACAGTAACAGCATTTTACTAAATAATCTTTATGTGCAATGTGTCAATAAAATTCTACTTTATGCGTCTCTTTCTTGAAGAGTACGTTATCATTGCTTGAAAAGCATGGAGGCATACTAGTATTGTGATCGGGATGTCCGTCTGTGCGACAATTTTAACGCACTTTGAAATAAATTTTCAAAGTGCTTAATTTTTCAAAGTGTGTTGCATGCCCACATACGTACCAGGACCGGAAGTGGGGAAAATAGATCGAAAGTATGACCATGCATTGAAAGTCAAGCGGTTGATATTAAAAGTACATATCATAATATTATTTTCAGGAACCTTTGATTGGCCTTGAAAACTGTACATAATGTGTTTGACTCGTGCTCGTATTCTAATTTACTAGTATTACCAGGAAGAACCAGCTCTTCCTCATAATTGTTCACCTTTTCAAGAATAGATTTTCAAAATAATACATTTTTTCTGTACAATAAGTTCAGCACATTTCTATCTTGGTATATGCCCTTTTTGAACAAACGACATTAGCCTTACAGCTTCAATTTTGCCCATACCACATTCCTGATGTAAAATATCTGTATTAAGTTCGCTCAATATTGCACCATCTATCCACTTTTCCTGAAATACGGGAACATACTTTTCAAGTCCAAGTTCTTTTAACAATTCACCCACATCTGTCAAACTCATTCCCTTCACATTTACTCTCGTATTTTCTACACGCGGATTGCCCCTGACATTCTTTCCTCTAGAGTCCCCACCTCTGGGGGGTAATTTTGGCGTTTCTTCTGATTTTGGAGTGGTTCCATCCTTCTCATCAATGCTGACATTACAGGGAGTGGTGATTTTAGCTTTCGTCGAAGTAGAAATATGTCGCTGTACCTTTCCCTTGGCCGATGTGTCGCTTCGTCGAGGAACAAGAGGTCTGACGTCATCTTTTGAGACGTCTGCAATCGGTTTTTGAGCAGTTTGTTCTTCTGGAATTGACAGAGATTTCTTTGTGTTGGGTTTGGGAGGAATTTTAGGTGGCACCTTGATTTCTTTCTCTCTGTCACAGTTAGATATAACTTCATAGGTGTTGCATTTTTCCTCGGTTGGACTGGAATCGGGTTTTAAGCCATGAAGAGTCTGGTATACATTGGTTTCACTGAGACAGTCATGTAGTGTACAGTATACGTTTGGTACCCGAACTGTTGCATCGAAGTCCTCCGAGTCGTTGTCATAAAGAGCAATGTCTAGACGAAAGTAAAAGTATTAATTTGAAATAGCTAGATACTGTTATATAAGTCAAAATTACATACTAGTATCTAAATTATTTTGAATTCTTTTAATTTTTTTTAATTATAAAAACAAAAGTACGGTTTTAATGAAAATTTATATATAGTTAACCAAACAAGTATACCCGGATTTCCAAAATAATTGTCACAATTTATTTGTGTGTCACAAATTTCACTTAAGTTGTGGGTATAATTGTCCCATTCCTGCTTTTCGTAGCCCGTTCTTCCCACCACTAACGATATCCTCATTTCTGTAAGGTACAGGGGAAGCTTCTGGATAATGGAGGTTACTCTGTCTGAAAAGGGAAATTAACTATGTTACTTTTCTCATGGTTGGGTCTAACTTTGTATGCTCCGACATTTTTTCCATAGAATAAAATGTATATGGAGATAACGAACAGTATCCAAGCTCAAAAGTCCATAAAACATTGCAAAATAGGAGCAGAGCAAACATGGACCTCCAAAAAAAACATCAGAGGTGGGATCAGGTTTAATGGATGAGTGAGCATCCCCTGCCCACCGGTCACACCTGCCACATGATCGGCAAATAACGGAAAAATCCGTCATCAATTCAGTGCATGTGTAAATAATGGTATGAAAAACGTTAATAAACATTTGACTCAATGTTAAATTGTACAATATTTGCTTACAAAGTCATTGTATCGACCATAAAACTTACGAAATAATGACTTTAAACGAGACTGCTATTATTCTTTGTTTCATCAATTTGTTTGTCAATAATCTAATACTAGATTTTATAAAAAAAAAATTGCTTGACTACAAATTTGGAGCAATTATATCGTGCATGATTATTCTTAAATGCACCTCCTGATAAATCGTGGCCAAGCAGAAACGTATCCCGGTATCGTCGAGTCAGACGCAGGACCAGTTGGTCCGTGGGGCTCGTCAACCAGTTAGATCCAGGAGGTTCTGATGTCATATCCGGAATAAAAAGGACGTCAATGGGCAGTTTATCGTTATTCTTGGAAAGTACTCTATGTAGTTTGTATTTCTTACATGTGGCACCTGAAATAAATTATATATACCGATTACTGAGTACCTGTCAAGACTTGATAAACAGTATGATTTGTATGTAATGGATCATATCAAAAATTTATATGATACTCCCCATTTTTTATATACTCACAATTCCTTGGACTGTCAGGGTAAAATTTTGACCTGCCTCACTTTCCGAAATTTGCAGATTTTAAATCTGTTAAATCTGAATAATTGTGAAATATACCACGAACTTAGGACCATTACACGCCTAGCTTGGATTTTCAGTAAGGCGCGGCATTCTCGACGTTACCTAATTATCTTCTGAAATTTACACAGCTTCCCTTCACTGTTGAAATATACATATGATAGAAATGCGGCCGAATGTCAACTGATGTAGTAAATAGCCAATTAAAAGTTCTCTCACGGCACAGAGGTGGGGCATAAGTCGTCTCATCGTTATCAACAACAATTTTAAGTTCCTAATGTTATTAATTTCGTAACAAATGAGAATCTACTAGTATTCGCCATTACGAAGCGCAGAGAAAGGCACGCCCTACTGAAAGTCCAAAGTAAGGGTAAAATCGTCCTAAATTTTTTTTTCAAAAAGGTAGTTCAATTTTACCTTTCTTATTAGAAATTAGACAGAAGGTAGCGTTGTATTCCACTGGTATGCTGATCTTTTTGTGGATCAGAGACCGGGGCCCGTTCAGTACGGTAGCCACAACCCTCTCTTGGGAACCGAACCTTCTTATGAACAGTTTCTGAAATCAACACAGTCTAATTAAATCAGAACCTTGTCAAGACTAGATAATGACCCTTCTTGGATAAGAGCAATTGTGTCCTTATTGTATCAAGATACTAGTAATTCTGCATCTTCAAAAAAGCTTACTTTTATGAACCGGTCTTGTAGAGTAGGCATTCCCACTAAAATCTTTCCCCCGGAAAACTGGCTCTAGAGTAGGATCCCCCCCCCAGAAAACTGGCTCTAGAGTAGGATTTCCCTTACAAAAAACTGACTATAGAGCAGGATTTCCCCTACGGAAATCCCACACCAGAGTCAATTTTCTGGGGGGGGGGACCCTACTCTGTATAGTAGTTATAGAGTGCGATTTCTCCCAGAGCCCCCCCCCCCAAGAAATACAGTATAATTGCTGGTTAGGTTTTTGAGAGGAGGGGGTGGTGCATTGTTACAAGATAGCGTCCCTTCTTTAAAATGGTGACCAGATATATTGAACATACGTTTACGAAGAATGAAAAATGAAAAATTTTAAATTTCATTTTCCCCAGCAACTTGTCAAACCATTTTTTAGATCAAATAAATCGATGAAACCAGGGGGACTATACATGTAGGTCTACTCTTCGTCTGTGCGTCCGTCTTTCTGTCTAGCTGTCCTTCTGTCTGTCTCAAGTGGTTTTCTGCATTTTTTTCCTAAATTTTTGAAGATATTGAGCTGATTTTGGTATGGGGTGTATCTTGATGAGTTAAAGTTCCAGTTGGCATTTTATTCCGCTTCAATAATTATGCCCCCGTAAAATGCCCCCGTAAACGAAGTTTCGGAGGTATATAGTTTTTATCGTGTCCGTCTGTCTGTCTGTCTTTCTGTCTGTCTGTCTCTCTGTTTGTTTGTTTTTCCGAAAAACTTTAACCTTGTCCATAACTTTTGATTTAGTATATAAGAGCTGTGACTTTCATATTTCACATGTGTATTCCTTGTGACAAGACCTTTCTTTGGGTACCACCAAATTTGACCTTTTGACATTGGAATTTCACCCACTTTTAACAAAAAAAATTCAAATTATTACTTTGCTCATAACTTTTGAACAGTAGATACCAGGACATTTATACTTCACATATATATTCTTTGTGGCAAGACCTTTTACTGGATACAACCAACCTTGACCTTTTGACCTTGACCTTGGAGATTTACGTACTTATGAAAAAACTTTAACCATGGCAATAACTTTTCAACGGTAAGGGCTAGAGCTTTCATACTTCAAATATGTAATCCTTGTAAAAAGACGCTTCAGTGGATACCAAGAGCTTTGACCCTTTGACCTTGACCTTGGAGTTTGACCTACTTTTAAAAAATAAACCTTGACCATATCTTTTTCAGGGTAAAAGCTAGTGATTTCATACTTTATATATTTAATGCTTGTGACAAGACTTTTCATTTGATATCAAGACCTTTGACCTTGTCCTTAGAGTTTGACTTACTTTTAAAAATCTTAACCTTGATCATAACTTTTGAAAGGTTAGGGATAGAGCCTCCATACTTCACATATGTATTCTTTGTAGCAAGATGCATTTATTGGATACCAATAACCTTGACCCTTTGACCTTGACCTTTGAGATTTCAAGACTTATGAAAAAACATTAACCTAGGCAATAACTTTTGAAGAGTAAGGGCTAGGGCTTTCATACTTCATATGTATGTAATTCTTCAGACAAGACATTTCATTCAATACCAATAACCTTGACCTTCTGAACTTGATCTTCGAGTTTAACGTACTATTAAAATCTTTTTAACCTTGGCCATAACTTTTGAATGGTTTAAGGTCTAGGGCTTCCATAATTCAAACATGTGATCTTTGTGGAAAGACCTTTCATTGGGTACCAAGAACCTTGACCTTCTGACCTTGATCTTGAAGATTTCTGTACTTATGAAAAAAAAAAACTTAAGCCTGTCCATAACTTGGGAACAGATGGTGATAGGGCTTTCATGTTTTACTATTGTATTTCCAGTAAGGAGACCCTACTGTGAGTACCAATATATTAAATTTGCATCTAAGAAAAGTTTAATCTTCACTATGTTGCCATACGGGGGCATCAGTGTTTCACAAACACATCTTGTTTTTTAAAAGGAATAACGACCTTTTCAATTTTTAAGGATTTTTGGCAATGTTTATTTTTACTATACGAAGGAAGATATTGGGCTAATTTTTGTTAAAACATCGAATCTGATGAGGATATTTACATATGCATTTGTTAAAAAAAAAGAATAATAAATAAACATTTGGGTTGAGACTCCATGATTTGAAATTTATCCTTAGAAAATTTATACTACATAAGTAAGAAAAAAACTCATTTACTATTTAAAAATCAGTTTGTCGTTAATTTTAAACAAGAATGGTTTATATTGACTCTATAAGAAGGGGGAAATTCTACTATGAGAAAGAAAGAGGGGATAAATTTGGCTCTGGTGTGAGATTTCCCCTCGGGAGGAGTAGGATGGGGAGAAAGCTGGCTATGGGAGAAATCCTACTCGTCATAGTAGGATGTCATGGTACTCTACAAGCGTAATAGATTAGACAAGGTCTTCCAACAATCTATTGGAATTCCCATGGGTACCAATTTCTCCCCGTTAAAAGCAGACCTATTTTTGAATTCACACGAAGCAGAATTCATTTACAATCATTTATGTTAAAAGAATAAAATACTTGCTGTGACCTTCAACTCAAAATAGAGACCTGATATATAGTCGACGTATTGGCAATTAACAATGGTAATTTCTATTCTTATGTCGACAAGATATATCCAGGTGAGCTTGAAATAAAAGGTACCACAAAGGCTGATCGACAAATTTGTTTTATATTTGAATATTTTACTAGAAAAAGAAGTTAAAGGTTATCTTACAACAAAGCTGTATGATAAACGTGATTACTTTTATAATTAACTTTCACTCCTCAACTTCTAGTACATATCCGGCAATATACCCTTGTCATCTGCACATGGGGTTTATATCTCTAAGTTGCTTCGATACGGAAAAGCTTGTTCTGCGTATGAGCAATTTCTAAAACGAGGTAAGTTATTGTCAAACAAGTTGATATTAGCAGTCTCATTTCTCAGGTCATCATTTCTTAAAATTTATGGTCGATATAATGACCTTGTCAGCAAATACAATCTTTCATTAAGTCAAATGCTGGCTGACCTTTTTCATATTGATTGTTATGTCATTATTTACACACTCACTGAAAAAAATACCTAGATAATTTAAAAAGTAAGTCTAGCAGAGCGTTCGGCGAGATTTGTAATCACTCTATCTACTGGCTAAGATAGTGAGTTATAGGTGTCACGTGGAGCTGGGGTCATATAGATACCTTCTAACCTAGTAAAGGTTACTTATAAATTCTAGATTTACTAATGTTATCTAGGAAATCTATCTAGTAAAATTACTTTTAAGTGATTGTGTGGACATAAATTTTACGACTCTTCTTAGAGAATTTTGATAGTTATTTTTATTCAGTGCAGAATTGCCTACATATTTTTCCTTATTTTCCCGAACATGATAAGAAGCAGTGGAGCACATGGCGGGTGTGACCAGTCGGCAGGGGATGCTCACTCTTCCATGGCACCTGATTCCACTCCTGATGTTTCAGGGATCGGTGTTTTCACTTATTTGGTATTTGTTTAATGGGCTTTTGAGCTTGAATACTGTTCGTTATCCCCATATCTTATTATTAACCTTTTGCCCACAGTCAGTGTGTTTTTACGTTTATCTGCAACAGTTGTTTAGAACAGATGACAGGGTTTAGTCAGATGTTGGATATTAAAGGAAATTTTCTAATTTTTGGCCACAGTTGATTTAGACGTGTTTTTTTAAAAATCTTAATCTATGTAGGAAAAAATACCGCATGTGCATTAATTGCCTCTTTACTTTTTTAAGTAATTTCAAAAGTCAGATCTGGTCTGAAGAAATCCGACGGATTACTTGTCTGCATCGTCTCGAGCCTTGGTTTTGGGTCACTTATGGCTCTCTCTAACGAGGGAATCGTAAATTTGGCCGTGATTTTGCGACAGTGACTTTATTTGACACATAGGCGTCGGAACCGAGAGGGTTGCCCCCCCCCCACTTTTTTTTTTTTGCAAAGATAGACATTTTCTATGTATTGAAAATTGGGGCCTTCTTTTGTTGGTTTAGCCCCCCCCCCCCTTTTCAATTAGCCCCCCCCCCTTTTAATTTGCTTCCGACGCCTATGTGACAAATTATCAGAACTACTTATGCATGTATGCACGTGACTTAGGTATATATTTTAATAATTATCATATCCAGAAACAATACACGTTAACGTTTAGTGTAACAGAGAAATAACTTTCAGGACCTACTTTAAATTCCTTCAACATATGAAGGGACAATCAAGCTAGTAGATTATTTCTTCTGAAAACAAATCAAGCAGTATTAGCATTGTGACCGAGGTAGTTAAAAATTGTTCATTATAGAGAGATGGGTTCTATGAAGTACCTTTGAAAGACTATTTTTCAAACCCCAAATCTCCATTGTCTTTTTCATCTCCTAAATGAAAATCAAAATAAAGAGGGTTTCCAGAATGTTTTTGAACAATTAAATGCGGATAAGGACATAAAGGGACTTTATTTCCAATATATTTAGACCCCAAACCTTAATTTTTTTTATGCACCTTTTTATGACATTTTTTGCAAATTCATCCATGCAATCTTTTGAAATAATTCAAACCATTTTATAAATACTCTTATTTCGATCTATAATTACATGTATATAACTAATATTGATTTTAGAAATTGCATGATATGCTGAAGGGAAATATGTTTGCCTGCTGCAATGTTTGCAAACACTTCGAAAACTCTCTCTCTCTCTCTCTCTCTCTCTCTCTCTCTCTCTCAGAGAGAGAGAGAGAGAGAGAGAGAGAGAGAGAGAGAGATTACCGGTGGGCACTATCAAGCACGTCACTATTGCTCCATCATTCCCATGCACTTACGGTATATGTCAACTTTCGTAACGTGAGTTCTCAGATCTTATTATGAAATGGTTCATATTATCGTGAACTACAACCAATGAGAAGTAATATTACATTTATAAAGCACTGCTATTTAAAATGAGGAAATGTACATGTAAAATTTGTTAATTTTAGTGCGTTTTATTAAAAATAAATGAATGCATGAAGTTGAAAAATGATAAAAATATCGTATTACAGTTTTAAAATGCTTTCAATTAAGAGGCATATTTTTCTGCTTTCAAAACTGAAAATTATACCGGTAAAGTTATACATGTATATGAAAACATTTTTTTAATGTAACTTAACAACAAAATTCTCTATTCTCTAGATCGAACTAAGACTCTTTTAAATTATAATGCAACAGCATGGCAATACAAATTTAAAAAAAAATGATACAGCAATTTTTACTACTGAATTATCAATATATCCCAGTGATCCACAGGCACTTGATTCTGGAATAAATTATTAATCAACAATATTATAATTACTATGGGTTAAAGAATTATTCCGGAGGTATATTAAGTGTCTGCTTAAATGATGACCGACACAATATACAACACAATTTACATTTAAGGTAAATTGAAAGGTTATTAACTTTCACTGTGAACACGATTATTTCATAATTTTGCAGTATAATAAGTGCGTTGTGCATTATGGATAATGACTACAAAAAAAAAATCAAAATCAATGTTAAGACAATTCTTAACTTTAAGGTTTAAAGGTGCATGGACACAGATTTGAAGTTAATATTTTCTGTATATTACGACCTATATATTTTAATAGCATTTCACACAAAAATATATTAAAAATCTTATTTCATCTAAAAGTTATCAAAACTTCAAATATTTACACGGGTTTGATTGACACATCCTTGCACTTTCACAAATTTTAATTCTATTCTTAATTCTCATGAAAAGTGGCAATCTTATTACTATTATTAACACTATAATCCAGAAAATTCAGAGTAGAAATGTTCGAAAGCAAATCATACACACAGTATATTGTCAGTCCATGCAGTTGTGGTGAGAGCAGACTTTAACAATTAAACGCTCCCGGTGAATCGTAAACATCAACAATAACACAGCTCGTGACCTGTTTTTAAGCGGTTAGCTAGCTAACCGCTTTATGGCATGGGCTCCAAAAAACCGGAAACTTCCATAAGGCGCTACCTATCGACAACGCTTTATCGCACGTAACCTTATCCTTCTGCAACCAAAACCGGAAACTTCCACAAGGCGCTACCTATCGACAACGGTAACTTCAGCAAAGCGCTTCCTATGATTTGTATACTGTTGGCGTAATACGCCCCCTGGTGAAAGATTGACAATATGCTGTGTACGAAGAGTGGCTATTATAACAATTATATCGAATTCTTATTAGTATTTACCAAAGCATTGACAATACTTAGAACACTAACTTCAAAGAACTGAGAATTTCGTCCTTATTACATGTACATCGTGCGATCGCGATTTATAGCAACTGTTAGTTTATTTTTGAAAGTTGAACGATACGATTAATTATACAGCAGGTTGAAGGTTATTACAGACTGCAAAAACATCAGCAAATCTCTAGATCGAGTTTAATTTTCCTTGCCAAAGTATTAAGAAACACCATTTACATGTATTAAGTCAAGTCATACCTGAAAAACGTTTTTATAAAAACACCGAATACATCTGCAAGTTTTACACTTTTTGTAACGTTTTTATGGAAACAATAGGATTGCCTCCACAATGAAACGTTTGTTTTCTTCTCTGTCTAATAAACAGTTTTAAAAGCTCAGCTCCCAGGGGTAAATACTCTGCTCCGTCTTTGATAATTTATTACATGTACAAACGATCATAAGGGATCACTTACTTTTAGTTTTGAAAAAAATAATGGGGCACTTAAAGTAGTAAAATTAATTTTGAAAAAAAAATGGATAAATATATATTAATTTTAATCGGCATTGTGACCCTCTTCTAAAAATCAACCGATATTATTATTCACAGAAGAATGAGGTATGAAAAATCTTGGCAATTAGAAAAAAATTAAAATTCATACTTAATGTTTATTTATAAGTTTTGAAAATTTGATTAATTCCTAGGGAACGTATTATTAGCTGTGAAAATACTTTTTAAATTTGAATTTGTCCAATTCGTCGATCATTATTTTGAGCGTTTGAGAAGAATTAAATTAAGATACAGGTGTTTAGAGGCACATGGATAGAAAAGAAATCAGTGTATATTGTTTAACCGACATATTGAAGAAAGTGACACTGATAACTTCTTAAGTTACACTGACTTTAAGTGTAGATTTGAATTTTTAAATACTAGTGTTTTTTTATTAGACAACTTTCCTTTTCACATGTTTTATTTGAGAGCAATATTGCATGAAGAGTATAAGGCAAATACACATTATATGTCCTTATCTAGACATATTGTGCAAGACTTCTTTTAAATGATTCTCATATACCATTTACTTTATTCGAACATTTACTTGTTTGAAAAGTCAATAAAGTACATTTCATAAAGCTTGATAATCTTGTTTACTCGCCAGTCTTCCCGTACAAGTAGTAGTTCATAATATTACTAAACGGAAGTATTCAGTATCTGTATAAAAATACAGAATGATCGATTTAAGAAGAAAAGCTGACTCCTGAAAGTTCAAGAGGTAGGTTGCGTTGCCTAGAAGAAGTAAGCATCCCTCGTTGACAGGTTACACCCGCAGTGAGCCTACACATCTGGAGCTCTCTGATATCAATTCATTTACAAAGTCTCTGCTCAGTCATCCTTTTTTTTCTCTGACTAGCCAGCTGTAGATCTACACTACTCCAAATTCATTATTCTAAAGAATTTAATTTGTCATTTTTTTAGTTTTTTGCTATATTAGGCTTTACAATTACCTAACTTCAATAGAGCATGAAAGACAATTAAATTTTCAACATCAACATAATTGTTTTCATCCAGAGAACGATAGGATGCCACCAAGAGAGAACTTTTAAAAATGCACTTACTGTCTTTCAAACTGAAGAAATCTCATGTTTAAATTTTGAAACATGCATTTTAATCTAATTAAAATTTATTTAAATGTTCCAAATCCGCTACTGCTTCTCAAACATCTAACATCCCATTCGGGGTCACATCAGAGCGACCTTTCGATTATGAATACATGTACTAGTAAACACAAAAACTTTGGTCATCTAGATTCAAGCCTCGGTAAACAATTCTCAAATTAATTCCACGGCTACATATCATCATTATTGATACTGTCTTACGTTGAATTAAAGTAATTCTGGAATCAATTTCATGTATAGTCTGTAGTCTGGCATCTGCACGTGAATAATGCAAACGAAAGAGCACAAACTATACAAGATACCCTCACGTCATACATAACACAGCTTATGCAAAGCATATTTTGTTTACTACAAAACTCCTCGGCTGTTTTGGTTCGGTGGTGAAAACAAGAAACCCATCTGATCTATAAGCCAAGATTTCGGAGGAACAGTTTTCTTTGGCTAATCGAAGATTCACTCTTACATGACCCCAAATATGATGTTGTTAGATGTTTGAGAAGCAGTAGCGGATTCGGAACATTTAATTTTAATTAGATTGCATCCACCTGTGACATCAGTTTGGAAGTTATTGGTTTTACTATTAAGTAAAGTATTACAAAAACAGAATGCCTGTTATTTTTTCTCTGATAACATTGGACAAAGATATGCATACTTAAATATCATCATTTCATGCACTTTTTTCGGTACGTATTAGATGAAAGCATGCTAACCGCTTTTCAGTACTTTCAGTACTTTGATTTTTTTTTAAACTGTGTACGTTTCACGGGTGTGTTCAATTTGCTAAACTCTGTACACAACACTAAGCGCCGAATGACGATACTTGTGAAGGGGTTTTGCTTTCGAACACTTCTACCCTGAATGTAATTATTTTTCTGGATTGAAGTCTTATTAATTTTCATTAATACACAACAAGATTGCCAATTTTCCAAAGTATTAAAAATTAAATTTACAATTGTGAGAGTGTAAGGATGTGTCAATCAAACCGTAATCACATTCAAACCCATCTAAAATTTTTAAGTTTCAATAACTTTTAGATGAAATGAGAATAATATTTTTGTGTAAAATGCTATTAAAAAATATATATGTCGTGATATTATACAGAAAATTATAACTCCAAATCTGTGTCCATGCACCTTTAATACTACATATATCAAATCTACTTTACGCACTGATAAAAAAAAAATAATAGTTAAAACGCATTATCAACTGACATTGCACATTGACAACGTAAAAAAAGTACTTCCTGGGAAAATCTCACCTGTCCTCGTTCATAGGTTTGCACCTGTTCCTCCCCATAGTAACCCCGTGAGACCTGCACCAACCTGGGCAAGTGATTACTGAAACTCTCATAAAAAGATTTGGGTGAATATTCAACTTTGTCCACGAGAAATTGTGAATTACTAGCACTGGTCGACATATTAATGTTTTACTGACAGTATTCCTGGTCGGGTTTTACTTCCTTGGAACAAATTTATCGAATCGCGATCGAGATCTGTAAATCCATTGATAACATGTAGAACAAGTTGTGTAATAGGTGCACGCTTGGCTGGATCTTTTTCATACGAATTTTTGAATATCAAGTTGCAAATTGTGCGACTGTCTAAATGCTGCAATGGTCCATTGATGTAATTGTTCTCCATATAGGATCACGCAAGAAATTTGAAACTAACGAATGTTTTTAATAAAACAATAAATGTATTTTTTGCGTAATGTGATAAAAATAACCCAATAAAGAAATTAATTTTTAATTAAACTGAATTTGAAGTCCTTTACCACATTTTTGATTGACAAAGTGGAGTTTTCGGAAACCAAGTCTTCCAAGAATCTGTTGGAATTCCAATAAGATAGATAAGACCAAATGTTTATTGTCCCCCCGCTTTACTGAAATTGGGGGATATTATTTCGGTCTGTCTTGGCTGCAATAATGTAACCCTCTCCGATTTTTTTTAATCCGATGTTTTCTGGAGAGCCTTTCCCCCCAAAAAGGGGGGAGAGGGGTACATTATTGCAGCTAGGTCTGTCTGTCCATCCGTCTGTCAGTATTTCAGTCCGTCTGTAACACGTTCGTTTCCGCGTGATATCTTGAGTTTTCGAGCTTTTGTAATTGAATTTCTCACAACTCTGTATTACCTAAGAAAAACCCTTATTAATTTGAGTTCGAAAGGTCAAGGTCATAAATTTTTGTTTGTTTCAACACTTTTCAGCACATAATAGAAATCTGTGCAACGTGTTTACAAATCAAAAATAAAATCAGAACCTATTTTTTAACTATTTTTATTTCGGAAAACTTAACTTTTAATAGTTGTTTATGTAAAGACAAGCAAGGATTAAAATAAGATTTAATTTCTTAAAATGAAAATACCATCGTATGGATATTTTTCCTACTTCATGATATTCAATTCTATTCCAAATATATTCTTTTTATGTTAAGCGAATTCTAACATGTTTTTCATTTGATGCTATCAGACTTTGTAACTGTATACCACAAAACTCTCAAATAATTTCCTTACACATTAGAGAAATTGACAATCAAATCAAACGCAGTGGTTTGAGTATTTCAATATTAATACTTGTATTAATCTTCATGCTTATCTAACAGGAAAATTTTTAATGTAAACTAGATTAATATACATATATCACTTCTTCTGAAAATTTTATCAGTAATTCAATTATTCAATAGATATTGTATTCTCCATTTTTCAGTTACTTGATCTCTATGAGCTGTGTACTTAACAAAGTTGAACACTGCACTTTGCAATGTTGATTTTACAATAATGACTATCTGACATCCCTTCCTTGTCATTTGTGAGTTCTCTCTCTTATTTCTCTCCTTTTTACGAGTGTTGTTTGTTCCACAGGTCTATAGCCATTGTCACAATAATATCCCCACAATCTTCTGGGAGCTGAAAAATATTACACTCAGTCAGTTAATTAAAACTCTCTGTCCATGCTCATTAATTACTGGTATGTACATGTACATTTGTATGCAATTATCTACACTGTTTATTACATGTAATTGGCCAGGAAAGGAAATATTTATTTAACAACCTATATGTATTTCTAAGTCAGGGAAACAATTTAAATTTTAATGTATGCATACATGGTTTCTATTTATTCTACAGAACTTTTTATTTTCCAAAACAACTGTGTTATAAAACAATTAACTTAACACACATAAATATAGGGAAACAGCTTGAATTATTTTTTTCCTGAATTTTTTCTTCCATTTCCTTTTTAACATTAAAGATGATACTGTTTTTTTTAACCCTTCTCTTTCATCTAAAACACCTGTTTCTTTAAATAATTTTTAATCAAATAATTAAGGACAAGATAGGGTAAGATCCGTTTTTGGCCCCTGATTTGGAGTGTCTTTCAGAATGATGCAACAGTTTATCCATAGAAACCTGTTGTCATCCCTGCCACAAAATTAGAATTGGTTTTAAGTTTTGAAACACACAGAAGTCACAGAGAGGTCAGAAAATGGGTCAATTTTCGAATTTTTATATTTTTATGCATATTTTCATTGATTTTACAGCACATTTTGTTTCGGAAAACATAGAGCACAAGCTTGCCTAACTACCAAATTTATTTATTTCATAATTTTTTATTTAGACGCATTTTATTATAAAAATTTCAGATAGGCAAGCTTGTGCTCTATGTTTTCAGAAGAGAAAAGTATCTCAAATATGAAAATCCACCAGAATTCAGGAAATGCCGGAAAATGTCCTACATCTGCACCCTCTAGTGGCTTCCATGTAAGCTTTGAATCCAAATTAGAGCTGGTTTTAAAGCAAGCATCAATTTAAGTTCTTAACTACAAATTATCACAATTTTACCAGTGTTCTTATTTTTACATCAAATAAGAGGCCAGATTTGGCCATTACCCTACCTTGTCCTTTCAGAAGTGTTTAGATTTCTTATAATCTCAAGTTTCAATATATCAGTTTTATCTACACCACCTTCATTTTTTACAATGGATTCAGGAAAATGGGCAACTTCATGGAAAATGAACAAAACTTGGGTTTGAAGGGATAAATCACAGGATTGGTGACATAGAAAATAGAGAAAAAAAATTCTTACACCAAAATGTGTGTATACATGATGATTTCCATTAAAAATTTGAGACATACTTGCTCTGGCTCCCTATACAAAGTGTTTAATTTTTATGGGGAACTGCTCCAATTAATAAAGTAGAACTAACCTCCATTAGATATTGAATCATATCTGTTTTACTTTTCATGCTCAGAAGTGGTCGCTTGAAGGTGAGAAAGACAGCTACCGCTACAAACACCACAATACCATGGGCACCTCCGATGACCTTGTCCCAGATTCTGGCAAAGAGATGAATCAGCTAATGATTAATCAGTAAAGACAAACATGCACAATGGGCATTCCACAATATTTCTTGGATATACTACCTAATAATTTAAAATTTTAAATATACATTGTATGTTTACTACTGAATATTAAGGTTAATTTTTTTCCAATACATGTGTATACAAGTATGGATTCCCTTTTAATCCCCTCGCAATGGAGTTAAAGGGGATAGAGTATCAAGCTTGGTTGCGTTAGTTTTTGTGTGTGTTAATTTTTCCTTTGCAGAATGGAAGTGACATAATTTGCACCAGGATCGATGTCAAATGTTGCCTTGATTCAAAGATATGCACTTTGCAAGGGGATGCTCTGCTTTGTCGTTCCCTTGTAACTTTTAATATTTTTTTTCTCAAATGCAGGTACCTCAGAGGTCCAAAATACATTTACAGAGCTTTTAACAATTTTCTAGTGTAAGTTACATTGTACCATTCTTGACTTACATATAAGCAATGTGAACTTTTAAAATTGACTATATAAACATCTTTTTTAAAATTTTGCCAGCATTGGATTGACATTTTCAAAGGAAAATACAAGTTTTGACAATTTAACATAATCAAAGAAAAACTTGGAAAAAAGCATCTTTCTGCTGAGAAACAAGAGAAATCTCTCTAATTGACTGATCTAAGAACAATTAGCTTTAAAATCATACACTATCCTTGTGTGGAGAAACAAGGACCCAGAAAAAGTCTGGTATGAAATGCACCCTTTACTAAGTGATACATATAACAAAATGTATAATAGTCATACATTTATTATATACGTTTGTCATTTTTTTATTAAGAAAGTAAGTAGATGTGACTGTCATTTATGGTTTTTAGCCAGGCTCATTGCTCGTAGAGCAATGCCCGGCTTTTGCTACAGTGTTCAACAGGAAATGCTGCTTCATCACCGCTTAATCAAATTTATGCGTTAGAACATAGTACGTTTAGGCAATCAACTTTGAGGCAATACAAACACTGAATTAGAATTTCAAAGTTATCTGAAATTGTCAAAAAATAATTAAAATACATTGTAATATACTTTCTACCGTCTTCGATTAATTATTTGTTTAAAATATGCAAAAGGTTTTCATAAGATATCCCTGTCTGCGTCATATTCTA